CCTGTACTTAAACAAAATGAGATTCTTTTTACAGATAAAGCAGAAACCTAATGGGATACACAAAACAATACCAAGTCAGTGGGCTGACAAGAAGCTCCAGCTATTCAACAACACAGCCCAGCTGTTGAAGGAGGAAGCTCTGAGCAGCAGTGATGACAGTGAAAGTGAAAGTGATTAACCTCTCAAAGTGCAGATAGTAAACGTGATCAGGTGGAGAAATAGAGACTCTGTAAGGCCTGATTAGTTTGCCAGGAGCAGAATGTAATAGTAGACCTGGAACAGATTGAGAAGTCTATTCATGATCTTCCATGGAGCTTGTGCTTTCCAGGACTGGACGATAAAACAATGTCACATACACCTTATCTGATGTTTTTTCTATACACGTCAGTTGTGGACATTAAATTTAACACAAATGTCTCATGTTTGGTGATAGTACCATAAAAGGTACCAGTGCCAGTCTCAGCAGCAGCAATCTTTCAAGACTGTGGGCATTGGGAATAAAAAGCAACCAGCTCTAGCCTGAAAAGTAGCTCATTTTATATACGTCTGTTGATTTTTGTGAAAGCAGAAATGAATTTTCGATGTCGACGGCCTGTGTATAACTGGTGCCAATTAGACCTAAGGGCCTATATACTAACAGGATAACAAGATAAACATGGCGGCTTCAAGGGAATCTTGAATTAGCCAAAAGAGAGAAAACTGGCAGTATTGAAGCTCAATCTGAAAGTGGCTCACATTTAAGTTAGACTATTCACTATATAGGGTTAGGTGTTTTATGCCTATGGTCATTTTATTTATTTATTTACTTTTTTGTCTGTTTGTATTAATTTGGCTTTCACTTTCAGAGGTACCGTGTTGCATTTTCATTGTAATCAGTTAAGGCAGAAATGGGTTTTCAAAAGTTAATTTTTTTTTTTTTTTTTTTGACTTAGACATTTGATTTTGTAAATTAGATCAAGAAATCAATAGTAATGGCTACTGACATCCGGCAGGGAACAAAGTGTAATTGTTGCCACTGTAATCTGTTTTACCACTGAATTAATAGTTTGTCTTCCTTGCTCTTTCATTTCAGTATAGTAATGAAACACGGTCTGCAAATTGTTTCTGCCAGTGACCAATTCATTGTTCTTTTTATTATTTTAGTGGCAAATTTCTATCAAGATGCTATTCTGACAGTCATTATTATTATCATTTGCTTCTAAGAAGATTGTTTAGCTTCTTTTACATTAAATATGTATCAGCAATCCTGTCCAGAATGTCTATTAATTTTCGTCGTTAGCCCTTGACTCGTGAACATTTCAGGTTTATGATTTAAAATCCATTTGGTCATGATTTTCTGAAAAGAAAATTAAAATGCAAGTCTTTTATGTTGAGTATTTGTTCCTACCTATGGCGTTACTTATTCCTTTTGCCAAGCAACTGGCTTCGTCACACGTTAGTTCATAATTCAATGCAATCCTATAGGAAAGGTGCAACAGTAAAGCAGTATGCAGCACAGTGGTTTGGATACCTATAATCAAACATACTTTTGTACTATTGCTTAACTTGTAATTTATATTTAGATTTCACTTATTTTTAAAGGTTTGCAAATGTAAGTTTCGGGTTGAATGGGTATAATCAAATAATTATCAGAGCTTCACGATAATTTGGTTGTTCCTTTCTCACTATTGTTACACGTTTGTCATTGTTGACTGATCTCCTTGCCGGTGATATTCAGCGATTTAATCATAATAGTACAAACTTCATCTTCAAAACAGAGGTTTCGTAAAGTGAGAAAAAATTATCACTGTATGCCGTATGATTTAGAGAAAATTGTACACGTGGTGAAGTTAAATCGAATGTCATCTTTTCAGGAGTAATTTTATTTTCTGGTTAAGCCTTGTAAACATTTATTACAAAGGGATATAATGTAATGTTAAATGTTAATTGGTTGAATTGACAAGTGGATATGACATGCTGTTGCTTCTCGTTCCTGGGGGCTACAATAAAAGCATAATGCCTGGAGCTGTTGTCAGTGTTATCTATTTGAACACATTTTCAGTGAAAGCTGCAAATATCTACCTCCATGTAAAAAGGCAAGATGCTGTTTTGGAAAAGCTGTATAGGCCTAGTTAACGAGATCCTAGGAACTCGCTCTTTTATCCATATTTTATCTCCAGATACTGGGAACGAAGGAAGCATGCAGATACTATGTTATGGATAAATTCAAAGTGATCTAATGAAATGAGATACGAAGAGGGAAAGATATTACAGTATGGAGGCAAACGTTTTGTGAAAGCGGGTTGCTAAATCGGATGTGCCGCTCTTCCGTGAATGTTGTTTGGTCACATTTTGTCTTCTCTAACACAATCATGTGATTGCAATCTGCTTACCTCCCGTACTATCTCAGCATTGTTATTCAAATGTTATTCAGATCTGACATATTCCAAGTGACAAGTCTTTAGGAAGGCACAATGTAGGGCAGAAGGTTTGAAACGTGGTGACGATTCTCGAGGATAAATTGATATTTTCAGCAGCCCCTGCTAACATATTGGCCACAACATATCGTAAGTACGTCTTGTATGTTGTTTTTCCCAGTGCTGTAACAAACACGGGAGCAAAATTTTCTGGAAAGATTGAGAACTTTTAGAAATAACCCTTATGTCTCGTACTCTGCAAAGTTTGTAATGTAATCACCGAGTAAAAGAGATGTTTGATAGATTGTGTGTGGACTGTGTCTGAGCTGGGGTGCAGCTGGGAATACCTTCAAGTTGTGGATTTTGTGAAGACGTTTTAGTAGATACAAATATATATTTTTCGCCTTTAAATATGATTAAGGAATACTTTCACGAAGTCTTCACAACGTGTAACAACACATATAATACTGACTCTAGCACTGTGGAATAAATCATTTTCTTTTGTCTTGATTTTCAGCTAATTTTACTTGTCCGTGCACTGAAAAGACGAAGAATGTGTACCAGAATCCTATGGAGGAATTTCAACAGTTCAGACGCAGCTTTTGATTACAATGATAGACATTGTGCATATGAAATAGAAAGTAACAGTGTTGAAAATCATCTCTTTTTTAACATTAAAAGGTACACCCGTCAGTGGATTTTCCCTGAAAAATAAGAAAAATTTTCGTACTTGCCAATCATTTATCTATCTCCCTCTTCACTTGGATTCGACCTTTGATAAAATTTATGAAGGCCGATTTGAGCTTAACATTACTGGCCAGTCTTTATAACAGCGATCATTTTCCTATAAGCTCCAATGGAAATATCAACATCAGGTACGCTCCAGAAAAATATTTTAGGGGTTAAATTATTTAAAGGTATATGTAAAGTAATATAAGAAGCTATGGATAGCAAAAATAAGCATTTTGGGGATTTTCAAACCCATGGAGTGTACCTTTAAGAAGCGCAATTTAAAAACGCTTACTTATTAAAAGAGCATGTGCATGTACCTTGTTGGTTTTATATGTAATATGTAGTTACTGCAACGTCCCTGTATTTGTAAATGACACCATGCCTTGAATGTCTTGAGTGTGTGTGCAAAACGCTGCCGAATAAATTTAATCCTATTTGTTCGCCGGAATTGAGGTATTGTCGAAAAAAAAGCACCTGATTAGATTTCAATCCTTCACGTAGTGTTTGCTTATTTTTTGCTGGGTGTCTCTTCATTACTTACACCGGGGTTGAGTTTATTAGAAATTTCTTAATTAATGACTTATGTTATGTTAAGTCGGCTAATCTTCAGTTTTGTTTACATATTTAAAAAAGTTCTATAGGTGGGATTTAGGAAAAAATTACCTGATTAGATGCCAGTCCTTCACGTACTTTTGCGCGGTATCTCTTCATCACTGAAAAAACGGAGTTGGGTTTATTAGCGTTTTCTGAATGAATGTTTTATATAATTTTAGTAAGGTTATTTTTCAGTTTTGTTTGCATATATTTCTTTAAAAATGGCTACGAGTGGGATAGGTTTGTAAACTTTCTTTATGTGGTCAATGCTTCGCTCGCTGGGCAAAATCGAGTTTTCCCTCAAAATTGTACCGTGAAGTAGGCCCAACTATTTTAGGATTTTGTGTGAAATTTTTGTGTGAAACTTTTGTACGTGAGGCAAAGCTACATTGATCTTTGAGCAAAACAACCACGCATCTTACAATTACTGTTTTTTTTTTTTCTTGGATACCCTTTGGTCTTGTGTGTGAGCATAGGCCCTAAGCATAAACAAGGTGCGTCTGGCTGCGTATGTGCTTGTGGGCATAACGATCTCACAAAATCATACGCATTTTGGATATGCAACATCGTTCGCATCTGGATAAAAATATTTCTCGATAAAATTTGCGATTTACCACTATAAAAATGCACTGATGTCAACGTTGGACAAAAGTTTCAAAGTAATAACATGGGTAATTTCCCAATTTGTTTCGCCAAACCCCCAAAAAACTTTATAGTCCGGTTAGTTATTTTGATAGAAGTATTACTGAATAGGTTCTTTTCTTATAGAAACTTCTAAAGTCGTTTGAGTGGCAATTTTCAAAATGCATATAATATTCGATAATTACTTGGAGACGGTGCCCCCTTTTTTGTGACACTCTATAATAGTCTATAAACCCCATATATCACCTTTATAGAAATTGCTCTTAATTGAGAGCAAAATGTAGTTGTTAGAAATTTTAATATTTAAAAAATTCACAATATCTTTGTTGTGGTTGTTAATATCTGGACTGCTTGCATCCATTCCTTGGTCACTCAGAACTGAAGAAGTGACGTCTTTGTCAGTTAGATTCTATTAATTCTTTTTTTTTTTTTTTTTGGGGGGGGAGGAGGGAGGTTGGTGTGAATGGTTTCCCTTCTCAATAATCGCAATTATTTGAAAAGTAGAGCTTCATTTATTACAATTTACTACAGAGAAAGAAACATGGGACGCATTATTGTTCCACATATTTCAAGATATGGCAGAAGAAAATAAACTCCAGACCCTAACCCACCCCAAATTGAAACGGCCTTCTGTAGGTCACTAGCTATCCTAGCATGGTCCACTGCATGCTTTTAAATCTGAGAAGTAAAAAAAAAACTAATAACGCGTGCATGCTAATAACTTTATTCAACAGACCATAAAATCACGCAAGACAACGGAATTTTAATTCTGTTACGACCTTACTTCAAAAAGCAGGTGCTTGATTGCAACCTGCCTCTATTTTTTCTCGCTTGCAAACAACGCCTTAACGAAACACTTTTTGACCAGTGGAGAACTTGTGTGAAACGATTCCTTTTTTTTCTATTTTATTATTTTTTTTCAGATAGGCGTATTTTCCTCGCTTAGTTGAGTACAGTATATTAAACACATGTACATACTGGTATCACTGGCGTGTACAGGCTATGGGGAAAGGAACACAAGGATAAAAATACATAAAAAGTACACGAGTTTTTAAACCATAACACGTAGGTCACAGATGTGGGGGAATTGCTTGGTCTTGTCTATCCACTTGTTATACTGTATCAGATTCAAGGAACAAGAGGGTATCTCATGGGAGAGGCGTGTGTTAACAGGCGTGTATCTGCTGCGCTCTCCCCTGGATTCAGCTTTGTAGTAGAAACTTGTTTTTGTCTGTTTTCCGTTTTGATTCTGTCTTAAATTTTGCTGAATTATAGGTATTTGTAAATTAATAACAATGTTCAAAACGATTAATTTATTGGACATAAGAAATACAAATAACATTTATTTGGCTACAGAATGATGTCTTTCATGTGTGTTTCGCATGGTCAGAACGGATTTTACCACAAGCTGGTGACACAACTATCGAGCTTCTAAGATAAGAATTTGCAAAATCTTAAGCGTTAAAGGTGGACGCCGAAAATAAGTAAAACTCAGTTTTTAAGAGAGTAAACTGCTTCATGCATATGGACGCAATACGCGTGTAACACTCTTTGACAACAATGCATAAGGCTTAAGATTTCATTAAAATAGTTCGCAGTTTAATTTGGAGTATTCACAACCGTCCGTTTTATTTTGGTATTTGCTGTGTTAAAGCAGTTTAAAGCATTTGGACTGTAATACGATACGACCCATTTCAGGTTAATTACCATTACAATCAATAGCAAAAATATATTCGTATGATAGCAAAATATACAATTTAAGGTCTTGGATAAAATAAGTTTCAATATCAAATAATAATATTACACAATGGTTATTAGGTAATGCAACCAGTTGCAAAGGTATATTAATAATAATAATAATAAACAAGAAACAAATGTCAAAGCAAAACTTATCAAAATGTGCGTTAGATATTCCATTTTGGGAGCATTCTCGAAAAGCTCCTCAACTGAAATATTAATGCTTGGTGTCCCAGTACGAATTGCACTTTAAATTGCAATTGCAATATTGCAGAATTCCATTTGGGTTGAAGACAGCAATGGGACTCATGCCTGAAAATTGGCATAGGTGTCGAACATGTGGATATAATCATCCACGCACTCGTAGCAGAACTTACATTGGTCCTGTAAGTAAAACAATTTGGTTAAGTTAAACAAATATTATAATGACATACAAAACAAATAAATAACATAGGGACCATTCCCACAGATATTTGGATCGATCTATCTCCCTGGGGAGTCTCACTAAATTGCTGTCAGCTTAACCGGCTTAAATGTCTGTCCCGCCTACTAAAAGCTGTTAGGGAGTTATTAACTTTCGTGCGCGCTCGGCTCCCTCTTGAGCTGACAGCAATGTATTAGCGTGAACCCCCAGGTAATTAGGTCAATCCTGATGGATCGATCTAAGTATGGGAACCCAGTCATAGTTTCATATTGATTAAATCCAATTACATGTAAAAAGCTGCATGTTTAGATCAAATTTAGATGGTTAATTCATCGCATCAAAATGAATAACAAGTGCAGAAGCAGCTAGTCCTTGCAAACTGTTCGATCATAGTATTGACTTTATATGAGCCTCACCAAGCTATCCACAAATTGTGGTCTGTTGATCCTAGTTGCCTTTATTGTATGGAACACGTCTACCTCTTGTTCTACTTTCGTTTTCTCCACGATTCGCGACACAGCACAGAACAACCCGCTTTGATGAGCACCATTCCTGTAAAGAAAGATTACTTAAGAGGTGTATCCGGCTTCTGGTATCTGGGCATATGTTTAAAAATTAGACACAACTTGATTCAAGTTTATCTTTCACAAATTAAAGGCAAAGCGGGTTGTGAGCAGAATGATCAAAGGTTTGAATAACTGCTAAATCTTACAGATCCTGGAAGCTAAATGAATAAAAACTTACATGCAATGTACTGTAATCCTTGTATTGCCACTTTGCTGTTGCCAATGTTCTATTTCATCTATTAAGCCAAGGAATGCCGACTTAGATTGTGGCACTGCATCTGAAGTCTTCCAGCCATGATACTGAAACTGACAGATCCTTTGGGGAGCATCTTTGGGCTAATAAAAACAATATAATTTCCCATTATATTTTTTGTCAATATTGTTTTCTTGTATTTAACACTTACCTTTGCCACGAAAAGGTGGCAATGGGTAAGGTATAATTTTTCAAATTGCGAAAAGCACCCGGTTGAAAGTTACTTCAGAAAGATGAAAACGTATATGCTTCAATATATTCTTCTTTTCTTTGCGTTAGCCAAGCAGGTCTAAATATTGTAGATTTAATACTCTTGTAATGTTTTGCCAACCTGATGGCAGTATTACCGTTGCAGGTTCTATTAGGATCGATCCGATATATTACGAAACATTTACATACCCGTTCAGAGTTATTGAGTTTGTATTCCCTCACTGAAAGATGCTCTGAGGGAGCACGGGATTTTACGAACTCCACGGTGAAGTGCCCGTATGTAGCAGTTCCCGTCTCTGGCCAATACACTGCGACAGTCTGCTGGAAGAGTGACATATATCAGATGTTGTAAAGAAACCGCGTGTTAACACAGCTGATAAGATTCACTTAAACTGTTGTAGGGCCTGAGTCTGAGGTTTAGTGTGGAACACACATCCACTAATATCTTCCACATACTTCTCCTCTCTTCTGTTTTCTAGTCTAGTAATCTAAATAAATAAATAAAGATCCAAAAAACACATATTAGCTATTGCCGCTTACCTCATCATCTTGAATAATCTCGTTGAGCATGACAATGGTAGCAGACCTCTGGTCGTGTATCATCCTCCAGAAATCAACCACGGTGCTTGGAAGCGGCATCTGCGTCACGATATACGCGTCAAAACGCCGGTGACCCTGAAATAAATATATACGTCCACCCTTTGAATATTACTTTATACAAAGGGCATACTCGTACTACAAAATTATGGATACTTCTAACTCAAATGTATATCGTTGGGATCAGGCCTATTCCATGTCCAAATACAGAATAATAATTCTTCAATTGTCAATAAAAATAGTAACATATAAACATAAAATTTCAATATTAATCACATAATACATGTACTTATTTTTCTGCGTCAATTTCTTTATTGCCAAAACAGTATTATTCTTTCTTACGTCTACAAACACTGCATTGATGTAATCGGAGGTTTGCGTACTGTTTATCTCAAGGTATGGTCGACAGTGGTTAGCTGGAATAAACAAAAAAATTGTGAAATTAATATATGCTGTACTGCGTAATCGGCCTTTTGCTGCTAAAGAAACATTCTACTTAATAATGTAAATGTATAGGGGGATATTCCCGTTTCTGTTATTCAATTCTTCATTTAAACAGGCTTCTTGTTGTCCCTTGCGTGAATATGGTAAAAATTAATCGTTTCTACAGAGACCCAGGATTTTTAATGATGAACAAATTATGTTTTGATAAAGGCTAGTTACAGCACGTTTCGTATCTGTAGGTAAAAACACATTAAGTCTCTTTACATTTTATTTATTCCATATCAAATTTAATTCTAACTAGTAAAATATATCAAACAGTTAATTATAACTTCATGTCGGTCTTCCAGGTCAGAACTTTAACCCACCTGGTACTATATTCCTAACTCTGTTCTTACTGAGATTCTCTTCGTTAAGTGCAGTTTTGGTCTCTTCTTGGTCGATTTCAGGAGTCATAATTTGAAGAACCTAAAAGTTTCAAACACTTGTATTATCATTTCGTGAAAGAGGAATCATTGGACCACAAGTAGCAGAAACTCTTTATCATATAACCCTAAAAATATGACGGACGTAAACAGTCGAGCATTTGTTCTACCTTAGTTCCCAATATCTGCCCTCTTATTATCTAGGGGGTTCTCTCTTAACCCCCTAGATAAATATTGTCCTAAGTAGTGTTTCGCTAGGTAAAAACTGTAATACTTGTTTTAAAATTATTATTTAAAAGCCTTAAGAAATACTGCATTAGGTGTATCTTAGCCAATTTTGATACGAGTTAAGAACTAGAGGATGCTGTAGTGCTTAGCTTTGCCTAGATGTGTTTTAACTTCGTACTTGTGATTATTATGCATCTGACTAACCAAGTTGATTCTAATTAAGGTAAAGAGAATCTGGATGCACCCTACAATGAGAACACTAAACTCGCCTCAAACTGTTCCTCAAGTTTTGTGCTACTTTCAGACGACCCTTTTTTCTTCAGCTCTGCATAACGTTCAGCGAATTCCTGGACAGGAATAGTAGTCTCCCCGCACAGTAACTCCTCTAGCATGGTGTAATGAAGAAAATAGTACTGTTCCTAAAAGAAAAAGAAAAGAAAATATTGGATCTAATATCTGTAAAAAGGAAATCCATGAAATCCATGTCATAGATGGTGCACGCAACAGAGACGCCAAAACATATCGACATATCGTTTTTAAGTGACTTAGGAAATGCAGGGAAAAGAAATAAGTTGTAGGCCTATAATATTTCGAAGTGAAAGATAAAGAACACATTCAATTAATTGTCGACAATATACTTCCTCTACAACATAAAACTATCATTTCATCTAAGGAGAGTATCGTTTGAAAGTACGAAAAGAAACTTCAGTGTAATAAAATTATAAAACGATAAAAAACTTGCCACTGTTTGAATCATTTTAGGTCGTGCTCCTCGCATGAGCTGCACAAGCTGGAAGATGTTGATTTTGCCCTCTGCTTGGGCTTGGTCCATGAGGTAATCTAAGGCAATAAACGTGCCTGTCCGTCCCACACCAGCACTGAAAAATGAATTTTAAAATAAGTCTTTTAAAAAGTGTTGGGCACCTTCTGATATATTTATTTAAAGCAATTCAATGTAACTTGGGATTCCTTTTGCAGTATATCAAATTGATGATGTTGGCTTATTCATGGCAATGTCGAACACCAATAAGTCCTATTATAAAAGATACAGAAATGATAGATTCAAAGCATGTATCAGAATACTTGCCTACAGTGAACAACGACAGGTCCCCTCCTTTGAACCGTCGTCTCATATTCCTTGATTTTCTTTCTAAAAGTTATTAAAGATGTTGGATCGACAGGGACGCCGTGATCCGGCCAACCCGTGAAGTGAAACTGCTTTAGGGACTTTTCAGAAGACTCTCCTGTCTGAAGGAAAAGGTTTGCAGAGTACCAACACTTAGTAGAATGTTTTTAAAAAAGACGTCATATAAAATTACCTTCATGATTACGTTTACCAAGAAGATGATGACTAGCATTAATATAATATATAATATAATATAATATAATATAATATAATATAATATAATATAATATAATATAATATAAAATGGGTACGGATCATTCCATACCGTTATCATTACAAGTAATTACCTTTGTTATTTGGAATGTTCTGATGCTAAAATCCTCGTGCTCTTCAACATGCATCGATATAATTGTTATTTCACCATGCTGTACGCTGCCTTTGTTTGGCCAATACTCAGCGCTTTTTGCCTACAATAGAGTGGGAGCACATAAGGCATCTTTGCAGAAACCAAAACTTAAGGCTGATACTAGACAGAAATCAGGACAGTGTGCAATGCACATACTCTTTCTGAATCACTTTATTTTGCATAATTAAGTCTGCAACATGATGTGCTTTAAAATCACACATGTATTGACCAACATCAATTAAAGTTAGTAGGCAATACATAATGCACAATTTCAGAATATGTGCGCTGATAATATATTGATGTACAGTGTTTGTCTGATAAGTAACATGTGCTCACGGTGACAACCCTGACATAAAACGCCTTACTTTTGCATTCTCCACTATTCTTGTAACCATGACGATGAGAGGAGAGTCCACCTGCCACACCATACGCCAGAAGTCGTTTACTGTGTTGGGCTTTGGACCTGGTAAGATATAAGGGAATCAATTAATGCACAAAAATATATAATGAGAAAAAAAACGAGCTTCCAGTCTTATCACAAAGTATTTCTAACATTTTGTATCAGACTATTTTAATTCCATCTCACAATAGAAGCAAGTCAGAATTCTTACCTTGAGCGGCAATGAAAGCATTCGATCGCTTATATCCCTGAAAAATGTAAACAAAAATATTAAATGGTATGTAAAGCTGAAACAAGAATTGTTGTATTCAACAGATACAGGTACGTTTAGTAAATCAAAGCACGTGTTACGTATGGTAAAATAACAAGTGTAATTCACCTGTCGTCGGTGAAGACAGCATTTACATTCAATTTAATACAGATGAATATAAATCGAAATCACTTACATCTATGTAGTTTGCATTGATATAGTCTGACTGTGGGTCATCAGGTAGTTTGTCCAGAACAATACGAGAGTGATCATCTGGTCAAGAGATGTATTTTTATATTAAACAAATGTAATTTACATTATTCATAATTTTTGTTTGCTTTATTGAAGTTTCTACGTGAAGGAAGTTTAAACATCAAAGCTTCCCTGAAGCATATGAAATATATGTATATTTGAACATTTCATTTTATCTAAGTTGATTTTTTACATTATTGTTTTATCTTTACAAAGTAAGGTAGGCCCTGTTGGCAACATGCTTTCTACTTTGTTGATAAGATTTACCATTTTATAAAGTTTTTTATCAAAACTTACATGGTAATATGTTTTTAAATCTGTTTTTGATATTGTTTTCAGGCTTCCTCCCTGCGGTGCAAGCAGCCTGTAAATCTTTGGACAATTTCTGAAAAAAAAGTTAAAGTACAAATAACTTCAACTATAATATTGATAATGTAACTAGACACACTATAAACATGGAATTCAGACGACCCAGAAAGCTTACAATAAGTAAACACCTATTTACCTCATATTCTTCTTTCATCAATTCTCTGGTCTTCCACAGCATTATGTGCATTATCTGGGCGACGGGAATATCGGTACCTTGTTCCACGTTGCCGTAAAGCGGCTCGGCATCGGTATACAAGACTTCGTTGGTAACCGGCTCGTGCTTTTTCTTTGGGCTTTCTGGATCTGGAAATTTAGGTCAGGACCAAATGTTTTAGAATTAATTTTGGAATGAGTCTACTGACACATCCACGCTCTTTTACCATTGTTAAACTGTATATAAGAATAGTTTAAAATATCAAATTTTATTTAGTTAGAATATATTTGAAGCTTCAAGCGTGTCCCCAGGGTTAATGATTCTTTATAGGCAGTTACATTTCTCACCTGTAATATGTTCAGTGCTACCATTTAAATTATCGTCTTTAAATGCTGCGTTCTTGAAAGGAATCTCTTCCCTCGATGATGGTTTCGACATTTGTCTTCGCCTTCTTCTGAAACAGAGAAAATTTATTACATATTGTCCGTATTTCAAAACTTTGGTTCGACGGAACCCACTATAAATACAATACAACTGAGAATCGAGCAAGTACAATTTACAAAAACAGCATTTTATTTAGGTGGTCTTACTTCATTAGTATGACAGCTACGACGATGACGATAACAGCGACCAAGACCACGGCAGCTATCACTCCGCCTATGACTCCTGCGTCACTAGATGGCGCTGAAAATATGAATCAGTTTTGAACAATGAGTGTATTATTATCATTCATGCATGAACGGTGATTGGCAGGCTCAATCCGTTAAGCGGGTTAATGTCACTCTTCCATCAAACCTATCAATATAAGTATTATGTAAGATTTAATTATAGCCCCAGAACGACTCTGAATCGCAATCACAAAAAATCATGCGTTTACAATATTACACGTGTACCTGTGTCATCGTTCCTGGGAACGAATCCAGACAGAAGTCGGCTGTAAGTCTGTGCTGTTACCTGTAAGAATCCAAGTCAATCACGGATTACATGGAATTTCAATGTGTCATTATCCAAATTCTATAGTTTCCTCATAACTGTTTCATTTACTTTACTGACAAAATGCCTGTTTCCATTTTCTTCTATTTTGAACAAAATTTATTTATAATTTCGACCCACTTCAATATATGTGAGCAATTCTTGCTTACTATAGCATAAATCCAGTCGTTAACCTACCCCATCTATACTCGATAGGACGCCAAAGTATATATCATAAGTTTGTCCTTCAACCAAAGGCGTATTCTGATATCCTCCATATGTTTGATTATCGCCGACGGTAAATTCTGCCCCCAGTCGAGTGCTATCTACCTCAGCTGTGATGTAATAATTCAAGTTTAAATCCATGGCCTCTCTGTACGACGTCAGGTTTCGTGTGTCGCTGTTGACGTCTCTTTTACGGCGGCGTGACATCAGTTCAACAACTATTCTGTAAGGGCGATAGATACTATCATAGACTTTCGGATTTGATAATGCAAGGAATTAAAACTTGACAATGGTATAAAAAATCCTGGTGTAAAATCTATCAAGAATATGGATCAAATGCTCGCCTTTATATTTTACTGACTTGTTTATGTTAACACATTAAAGTGTGCCCCTCATAAATATTACTCCTTTCCGTCTTACCTTGACAAATGACTGGCTACTGAAGCCGACTGCTAAATTCTGCCTGTCGGCTTCTTTCGTATATTATTTAAGCATGAACGTTAATGCTGTGGTTTAAATGTTTTTATGACAACCTAAAATTATTCGGACCCTCGGCATACAAAGAAAAGCATTAATAATCCGCATTTGTTCACAAGTTAGAAGAATTTGCTTTCAGAATACCCTTATATAATTTCCCAGATATATGAAAACCAATAAATGAAACATATTTTCCACACTAGATTAAAACAATCAGACATTAAAAAACATCGAAATCGCTGTTACAGTTGGATTCAGCTATCCTCAAAGTTACATTGTAAGGTCACACGTGCCTGTACTTATCTCCCACGCTGACAATTGGTAAAAGGACAGTCACGGTCGATCTCGTTCTTTTCCTTGGAGTCCTTGAGTTTCGAAGTGATTCATCATCGATGACTGGAGCTAAAATCATACCAAACAATTTGTAAAACTCGTCTGAAGCTTTATTCAAACCTCAAATTTCAAACTTTATTACTTTTTAATGTTCATGCTTTTGTCTTGTTAAATAAAAATCACCAATACAATATGTACCTTCTATACCTGTATGCAATTGAGTCGTTGTTCTAATAATTAATGTCATTATTACTAGTGTCAAAACACACAATTCTTACGAGATGGTGCCGTCCATAGAACTCTCGTCGTGTAGGTTCCGTATCCAACAGATGTCCTTGCAGCCACCCCACAAACATATCTTGTGGACGGTCTCAAGTTTTCTACGACCTGCTGTCTCAGTTCGGGGCTGTTTGAAATGTACGTCTTATTTGTATCGGATGGTGAGTTGTATACAGAGCATATTATCTGGAAAATTTTAACCATTAATTCAATAATATTATCCCAGATTTGTGTTTAGAGCGAAACGAAATTCAGAAATGGTCTCACGTTAATTTTTATTCAATCTGCCACCATTTTAAGCAACCGAGAAAATTATGTTTCACCTTGTAGCCCATTATCCTTCCATTCTTTTTGATCGGTTCATTCCATCGCAATGTCAGAGACGAATCTGTTCTGCTGCTGTTTTCTAAGTTATTTGGTTCTCCTGGACCTGAAAGGAATGTGCTACTGATTAACAATTAGAAAAAAAAAAACGCGACATTTTGCTACTGAAATCATATTATTGCGTTATTGAATCAGTTAACCATATAAAATGAATCGTTTAAATTCCTTTAGTAAAAGAAATAGTAATTAAAGAAATTAAAGTTTTACGAATGTTATTTTTCTTAAATCTATACTAAGAGTACTTAATCTGTACTCAAGATGCTTTTATTTTTTAGCACTCAGCACTTTGAGGATTAAACAGTATGAATGACACTCAAAAATATACGCGGAAGGGAACGATAAGTAGTGAGAAACATACTGCCTTCAACTGTCACAGCCTGAACCAGGTCACTGTACTGTCCCGGGCCTTGATTTGTTGCTGCTCGAATCTGAAATAAGAGAACACGTTTGGTGAATTGTGCCAAATGTCAAGTTCACAAATAGGGAAATATATGTTTTTTATCCTGCTACTCCCGATACTACGAAAGAAAATAAAAACATGTGAGGCGGATTCTCAGCTGAAAAGGAGAAAAACACTAACATACAAAATACAATTGCATCCATATTTTCAAAATGTGCTAAAATGGTGCATTTGACTGAAAGCTAATAAAAAAATCATTTCGTTTTTCAATGCATCGCCGTTGGAGAACATCCACCATGAACATGCCATGGCAATTCCCTGTTTGAGCAATTCAACGAACGCAAAAGTAAATAAATAATGAGCCAGGGGCAAAAAACAAAAACAAAAACGATAACAAACAACTTCAATTTATATTGTAACCCACCATCCTAACTCAAGAGCTTACCTGTATAGCATATGTTACATTTGTTTGTAGATTGCCTATGGTTCCTCTAAATGTGGTTTCATTGAAATCAACGACTGTCAGCTGGCCGCCGGTCGCTGTGCTATACCTGACGTCATACCTTGTGATTCTGCCACCTGGCGGATTTGGTTCTGACCATGATAATTCTACGGAGTCACTCTGCTGGCTTGTTATAGTAGGAGGAGACATTTTGGGGGGAACTGGAATTTTAAAAACACGCCAAGTCAAATAGACAACTTTATTTATGTCATAAATAAACAAGAACAAACCATTACACGCAAATTAATAATTACGATGGATGGACGGTTAAGAGAGTGAGAGAGAGAGAGAGGGGGGGGAGAGTGAGTGAGTGTATTACCTCCTTCTGGTGTTGTAGCGTAGACTGCGCGACTTGGCCCCTCGAGTCCCGCGTTATTAAAGATGCTAAGGATAAGAGTATAGTTACTGTAGGGGATCAGATTATATATAGAATAAGTGGGGTTGGCGGTGTCATTCGGTCCTACTGTTGAAGAATCCCCTTGCCTTTGATACCTCACTCGGATTTTTTGAAGAGATTCACATCTCGTTATTCCTGAATCAATTCCCTGGAAGATTCGAAAGAGTTTGAGATCAGCTGTGTCAAAATTTTAAATAAATAAATAAATAAATGAAAATAAATAAATAGATAGAAAGCATTCCTTCGACAAGGCAATTCGATTCTCATTATTATTAATTAATTATTAATAATCTAAGTAGCTCTATTTTGATTGATTGAATGCTTAGCTCAATTTCCTTATTAATTAATTAATTAATTAATTAATTAATTAATTAATTAATTAATTAATTAATCGATTTATAATCAATCAATGAATGAATGAATTAATTAATTAATCATCAGCAAAATCTAGCCCAATGCTGACCTATTCTGAAAATTTCATCGAAATCTTTCCACATTTCTTTGCATAATGTACTGGTAATAGGCCAATCGACTTCGTTAAGTTATTGATTAAAACTAATGGATCAAAACCAAACTCTTATCATTTGTTGATAGGTCCCCTACCATTTTTCCTGAAAAATCAGTTAAAAATATATCAAAATAAATATTTATATATATATATATATATATATATATATATATATATATATATATATATATATATATCATTATTCTTATTGGCGTCACTCTTATCTAATAAAGGGTTATTTGCAAATTACAAAAACATCTCACCTGGACTGTATAGTGGATAACCGCAACTGATCTGTCACCGTATAACAATGCCGAAATAGCGATGGGTTGCGGTGGCATTAGCGGGGCTGGAATAGCATGATTTTGTTGAGGTTATAAGATATATATCAACATTGAAACATGACATAAGTTAGACCTTAGTTTAATCGTGATGATTGTTTTCTCACTAAAACTAAAAGTGAAGACAAAACAGAACGCGTCACTTCCCAAAAGAACTAATGACCGGCACATGAAAATTACTATAAAAATTATCACTTTACCTCCACAAGTCTTAAACGTAGCGCTGGCACTTGACTTTCCTTCCCGCCCTTCCTCGTCAACAACAATAACTCGGAACCGGTAATCAGTGTACTGGTTAAGATTTGAGACCGTAGTTGAAAACTGATTTCCGGCATCTTTCCTCTGCCACACTGAGCCACTGCTACCGTCTGCTTGGTACTCCACAATGTATCTTGTGGCACTTCCGGTTCCTGCGCCTGTAGCAGCGGACCACGCGTCCCAGGAGATGGTCACAGTGTCGCCTGTTCGGGAAACTTTACGTGGAGGACCTACCAGACGTGGTACCTCTGAAAAAGGAAAATTAAACAGATTTATTTAATCTTGTTTTATTACTAGTAGGTTGGGGGTAAAACAGAACGCAGGTTGGTGAGTTAGCATAATTTTTTGTCTCAAAGCAGGAACGTGTCACTTTTTAATTGTCACTGAATAAAATCATAGTCTTTTCATTTGGAATGTTTTATGGGGTAAATTGTAAAGTGTACAAGAGATCATAGATTAATGTTCACAAAAGGCGTCAGTGTATCATGATCGTCCTACCTTGAAAACAGCCATTCCCTTTCCAGTGCGGCAAGCAGGCAGTGGGCACTTGGCATCCGTGGCCCTTCCAGCCCGCTCCGCACCCGCTGCTACACTGCCCCGTCACTGTGTGGCACACTTCATTCGGCAGCTGACACTGACACAGGTATTGACACTGGGGTCCGAAAGCACCGTCGGCACAGGCTGCAAGGCAGAAGGAAAAATCTATAAAATAGCTAATATCGTTGTTGATTATAACTCAGGAAACCCTATTTATTTTAATAATATTGAACTACATTAAGAGTTTCTTAACAATAACAGTGTAAGTTAGAGTGGAGTAATTTCCACTCTAATATTTTGCAGAAACTAATTGTTTTTGATTGTTTTGCAAAGCTAATGGAATCTTAAACTTACTATTACTTATTTATAATAACCTAGATAGAAAATGCCCTCAATAAGCGAAAACGATCTGTAATAGCACCACAACATGGATTGTTTTTTTTTCGTAAAATTAATGGGATTTCTCTAAACGGTTAAATGATACAAATTTGAAAATTCATATACAAGCTATAACGTTTTTGAGTTATATTTCATACTTTCCAAAAAAAAAATAAATAAATAAATAAATAAATAAATAAAACAATTTCTTAAGAACATTTTACCCTGGTATTTGTATCCCTTGACCAACACTTCGCAAAGGGTTAAAACGTTTGTTGCCCTTAGCTGAATAATCAGCACATGGCCCACGAACTGCTGAACGCAAGGCAGTTCCACGGCTTGACCTTCTGGTATCTGGGTGTTGCGAGATATGCATACGTCGTAACTTCCACTGATTGTGTTATTCCGTAACTTGATGTCAAAATAGTTCAATCGACTTCCACCTGAAATAAAAAGTGCATTACTTCCACAGTGAAACTAAAAATTAAAAAAATGCATTCGAATTGCCATCATGTAGTTTATATTAAAATATCAGTTTTGGCTTTTCTACATAGAGTTAGTGGTTAAAGGGATAATAACTCGTCGCATGAGATCTATATTTCACATCAAAAACATTGTGAATAACTAATAGAAATATAATATATTCTGTTTTACCACAAAAACGGCAGTTATGGCTATTATTCTGGTATCTGAACTTGTCTTTAGACCACGTGACCTCCATTGATGGCTATACTCTGTTAAAATCTCTTAAGAGATTTTAACCAAAAAACAAACTTTTTAGAAAAAAGCCAGGGACTAACTTTGAATGTAAAAATGGATTCATTAACCATTGGTAAGTATGGGAAAATTGTTGTTTACTCCAGGAAAATTAATTTTTTGGCCGAAACGAAGAGTTATTATCCCTTTAATTATAAAAGTGAAATGATTGTTACCAAGAGTTTTTCATGGCAATATAGACGCAAACAGTGTGTCTATTGGTATTCAATTTCTGTGCAACGCAAGAAAAGTACAACGTTAAAAATCTTCCAGTGATTATATAACTTACAGCAGTCACCCCTGTTAACAAGAGTTACACTGTACACGGCATACTGCGCGCCCAGGTCTGTCCGCCACCATGGGTTGGCTTCATTGGCAGTGTGCGTGCATGATGCATGATAAAAATATGTGTCTAAATTGCCATCAACGGCCCGGCTAGCCGATTCTCCTGTACTCTGCTGGGTCAATTTCCCGTATGCTAAGTTATCTAGAATTAAACAACCATTGCGGGTGAGAAAAATTCTTGGAAAATTCAGAAATTTTATCGCTATCAGCCTATCACGAAGGCATACTCGATCCAATACCGTTAAGAAAGCATCATATTCGCTGAAATCTGAATGAATTACTGGCTGCGATTAACATCCAGACCTAAGCTGTATTTTTCATATTTCTTAATATTAAAAAACACTTATAATAATATAATGACTCTGACCAATACATACAAGGGTATTCATATCCCTTCACAATCACTTCACAAAGGCTGAGAATCTGGCCCCCAACTTTTTTAATCCTCACATATCGTCCAAGTATAGGCGGGTCAATTGGGAATTCCAAGTACGCCGTGGCGCAGGCATCGGCCCGGGATATATCCCTACAGTTAGATGTGACAGTACTGTTCCCAATGCAGGCAAATACTAGATTAAAAGGACCTGGAAAAGAAAAATTAATTTGGAGATTTGTGCTGTAGACAAACGCTAACGCAAAGGGTTGGGGTTAAGTTTCGTATTATTACCTCCGCCAAGGATGTTATGTTTTCACCCGTTTGTCTGTCAGTCTGTTTGTTTGTCATCAACATAACTCAAAAAGTTATGGACCGATTTTGATGAAATTTTCAGGGTAGGTCGGAAATGGGTAAACATAGAAGTAATTAGTTTTTGGTGGTGATCCGGATCCATAATCAATCAATGATCAATAAAAACCAATCATCAACATAACTCAAAAAGTTATAGACCGATTTTGATGAAATTTCCAGGGTAGCCCAGAAATGGGTTTACTTAGAAGTGATTAGTTTTTGGTGGTGATCCGGATCAATAATCAATCAGTAATCAATAATAATAAAAAATTGCTGCCTTGGCGGAGGTCTGCGCTCTCGGAGTGCTTTTCTAGTTTTAAATCATATGCTTGTTAAAAATACCAAATACAGAAAAACAAAAAGTGAATCCCTTAAAATAAAAAAATTACGGGATCTTCGCTCCTTCCTTTACTATAAATGCTTTCACCTTCAATAACAAGGCAAAAAAGAATGTCACTTACAAACACCAGAGGTGGGTTTCTGCACGGCTATTTTCCTTACGACATGGAGTCCTCCCAGGTCTACCAGCCACGATGGGTCGTTCTGTAAGTTGGTCAAGGCGCAGTCACTCCCCTGGGTACTGTTATTTCCATCAACAGCGAGGGATGCCAGGAAATTTGAATTAGTGCTCGACTGAGAAGCTTGCTTTCCTTGCGCCAGATTGACGTCATCTTTTAAAAATAAAAAGAGTTTGTCTTAGAAGAACATTTATGTTGTAATTTGTACATGAATGCAGCAACACAGTTTCTCGTGGTCATCAAAGAACATTACAGCGTCACTTAAATACATGTATAAAACTAACATATAAGCATGGTGTATTTATATAGGGTATCTAAAAAAAGTTAACAAAACAAAAAACCTTACTAGTTTCAAATTTCAATGACTTTATTTTTGAAATTATTGCAATGAAATTTGGAACATTTTAGGACAATCGTGTTTTTATAAATGGTGAAATTTCATGAATCTAACTTCCTTAATTTTGTTAAAAAAAAAACTGAGTAGGTTACTTTAGATAAGGGCCACCGAGCATTATTACTTAGGGAAAGAGAAAAGGTGCATTTTACCGTCAGAGCATCCTATTCCCCATGGGTTATCTACACAGTTCGGCGGACATGTACCCAGTGTTTTCTGACATATCTGTGCCTGTTTACAGAAACAATTACTCTGGGTGTCACACAACCAGCCAAAGTATCCCTCTCCTTCAACGCAGCTTAATGAGGTCTGAACTGAAATGAGAAAGCGAATTTATTGAGGATTATCAGCCAGCGTTAATCCATTCTAATTGACGTGGGAATTCTATGTTGTATGTTGTAAAGCGAGAGTGTGTGATAAAAAATAAATGTAAAACAACATGCATGAAACGGGATATATAAACAATAATAGCTATATGCTGATAAAACCGCTCCACGCAATTTCATGAGGCAATATTTTAAATTATTTGGGTGACCCATTATTTTGCGGTATTCGCCTTTGTATTCAATATTCAGACGACATACATAAGTTTATCTCAGAATAAGAAAAAGGTTCATTTGTTTTGAATCAGCCAACATAAACGTATTCTACAAAGGTAGATGCATATTAAAGAACTTGACAGCAACCTTTTCTAATATACAGACGCTAAACAGTAAAAAAGTCAGTCCCATAGAATGTGCCATGTACATAAACAGGTAAATTCCACTACAGATTGAAAAAAAATTAACAAATTTATAACGTTTACAGTGACAGAATACATAAACAGAGTACTGTTCATCTGCAATCCAAAGATTGACTGCGTCTTTTCACTGAACTTATTTTACAAATTCGTTCTCAATCTGAACACATGAGCATAGGGTCAGCTCTTGTTTGCAACCTATGGAACAAACGTTGCCGTGCCGTGTCCGAAATAGAGTATAAAAACAGTTTCTCATTTGTGCTTCTTTTTTATAGGACTACTCTAAGTTTGTTTGTCGCTTTCAAGTATTTATGTAAGTATGCTTAAAACATTCGTATTACTTCCTACTTCACCTTTTGTCTGCAATGTACTCTATTAGTTGCAATGTCTTATTTTATTCTTCTCGAAAATAATAAACATAGACTAATAAACCGCCAACCCGTATCGTGTTTAAATTGGTCAAGTCAGTCATAAAATAACCGTACACGAAATAAAAACTTTATAGGAAATTGCGGAGGATGGGGTTGTTCCATAAATTGCATCATAATCATAAAATGTTAAAGGAATAGTGAACTGGGATGACGCACACATTCCAAATAAGAAAATGAAACATGTGTGTGTGTGTGTGGGGGGGGGGGGGAGGGTTGGGAATAACATTTGGGTGTGAACCGTGTGATGCTTGTTTCCACGTGATTCTGTGTCCTTGCACAGTTTGACCAATGTTAATAAGCTTACATGTATGTATTCTACTAGCTAGCACACAAGCTAGGTGAAAAGCGGTGATGGAGAGGAAAATGTACCTGAAAAACAACCAAGTCTGACCCGATTTCCATTATCCTATAGAGTCGCCTCGCATATTTCTTAGTGCTGTTGGAATAATTTGCCTGCATATTGTAAAAGGAATGAAATGTTTTTCTTTCATTAATGACAGTTTAAGGTCGTAAGATCATTGGCTCTGAGGATATGATGCATTTCTATATGACAGGTGGAGTAGAACCTGCCCGATGAAGCAAACATATTTAAACAAACTTCCCTCGTGCTGATAGCAAAGTTGAAAAATAAAGTGTGAATGGATATAAGAATGCACCTCTTCTGTTTCCTTGAATTTGATTCACTGAATCTTCGAGGGCATATCGTAATAACCAACATCTGAGGTTTCACTCTAATTCCAATATCCACAGTTAAAACTATTTTAAATATTTTATGTCATTTATCTGAAAGGTGGATTACGGGAAAAGGAAACAGGAAGATGATAAATGTAAAAATAAGAAAAGAAGAGAAAGGATAACAAATACAATTTGCACTTTCCTTTCTAGCCCTCGTATCTCCCAAACGTAAACACCCGGATTTGACACAGGTATTAATAGGGACGGGCAACTTTTGTTTAATCATACTACCGCAGTTTGATATTACAAGAATACATACATAGAGACATTATGTGACCGTGGTGATGTACGCTTTATTCGGTTTTAAAGGTGAAATTCATTTACTTTCTCTCAATATGTATGTCAAATAATACACTGCCACCTTTTTTCGCAGACGCTCGAGGTGTTCTGGCATATATCGTTCGGATAAGTGTATTATCTTAATCGTAGACACAGGCACTTCACACAGTAAAACCTACAGAATCACTGGTACAATGTATTAATCTAATACACGCATCAATCATAACAGATAACCCGTTCTCCAGCACGTAATCTCGACAATCAACAAGCAAATTGTGCGTATTGTGTGTATTTCAAGGGTGGGGGCTAAATTCCAGCGCCCCATCTCTACAAGGTGTTAAGTATTTCAAACATTCACCAGAGGGATTTTTCTGCATAGTGTTTTATTCAAGTCGGTGTTTTAAAACCACAAGCATAGTTTTCTGAATTTGATGTCCCCACAGTACTTCAGTGTAAGGTTACCGTGTCTAAAATATATCAATGGAATATGTAATCAAACACGCAAAATGAGATTACTCAAATTCCATGAAAAAGAACACTATGAATATACTTTCACCGAAAGTTAGTGATTTACAAGTTATACAGACATCAATCAATAGACAGCACCTTTTCTTACACTTTTTTCCACATAAAAAATATTTAACCAGCAGTTAAGTGTACACGAGGCGGTATTGTGGAGGGCACGCTGCACTTAATTCTCCCATCCATATAAGACGTAGATTAATTTATAAAATCCAGTCATCATTCTTTTGTTTTACATGTGCCGTGTCATATCCGCATGGTGTACTTCGAAAATTTAATAGCAGATGCATTTAATGTTAACAGAACTGCATGTAGATATATCTTCAGTTAAGTATTAAACAAGTTGAACTGTGCGACTTATCTATAAAAAGAAATCATTCCAATCTTCACTTTATTGGCCTTGTGGTTAAAAGAACCGAAGGCGACATAACTGGTAAGCTTGTTATCTCAGCTATCAAATTAAAGGAAAGAAATCGATCTCGTAATCAACTGTCCTTATTCCATATATACTCCAAGTGGCTAGTGGCTAAGACACCGTGCATTATTTCTGATTAGCTTTATACAGTTATGTGATACACAACGTTTAATGAATCTTCTCAAGGAATCAATGGGCACTGAACACCACGACGCTGACTGGCAGATGTATATTTCGGCACGATTGGGATGAGTCAACGTCAAAAGGCTGATAAAGCCCCTCGCAGTGTAGTGCAATGTTAATGACTTGGAACTTAGTGTGATATTAATTATATTGAAATTTAGAGATAATGGGTTAATCAAGCATGCCTTGCGTTATTCACCCTTCCAAAAAAAATGCTCAAAATCTTTTATTTAATAATCACGCAGCTGTTCTCTACTTAGGACGCACAGAAAACTCGATCTAACCTTGTTCTCTAAGACTTAAGGGATCTTCAGTTCTCGTTAGTTTTATTTATTCTTCTCTTTTGGACCAGAAATAGAAAACAGTTTGCTTTAAAGGAATTCAGACTCGATCAGGAGTAGTGGTCAACATCGGTCTTCAGTTTTCCTCTTCTTGACCATTCGCATTACCAGATATTTCCCCCGCTTCCTTTATGCCAGCCCCTTGTTCCCAGAGTATGATATGATATTACTGTATTTATTTTTTTAAAATCAGTGCCAGTATTTTGTTTTAATTTTTTTTTTGCATTTTGTCAATGGAAATATCACTTTCTTACTTTATTCCATTTTGTTAGTTATTTATTAACATTATGTTTTGTTGTATACCAGTATGGGTTCCATTCTTTCTAATTTTTCTTTCTTTCCCCCTTTTTGTATACTGCCCTTGTAAATATTTTTCTTTTGTTCTCTTAAGGAAAGCGTATAACGTCCCAAGCGAATCGCCTTCTTTTATCTTTCTTTTCTGAATAAATCTTGTTGAAAAAAAAACATGCGCCTTCTACAAAGTGTCTGACTACACTGACTTGTAACGAAGGTTTATCGGAGTCTATAGACAGCCGTATAGACTCACTAGGAACCTGCATATAACAGTGTGTCAACCACTCCGATAAACAGTCACCAGTGAAGAAAACCACAGAAGTTTGTCTCAAAATTACGTTTATATAACACAACATATCATCGGTAAAACCCACAGATTTAACTTATACCCGGATATGGAGCCGAAGATCGGACATCGCTCTCATTGTTGACAATAGGCTTTATTATATGTGGAATTAATCCTTTCATGACCCGTGACCTCTGCTCACACCCATTATGTACATGTATGAACCACTTTGTGTGTAGTACAGTATAATGCACTATATAATATGTGGTATGTCGCGGTAAATATTTAGGTATCCGGCCGCGTAGTTGTCTCTTTTATACATCTGTACTAGCTTGTTCTTTTTACGCCCAAGGGAGTGATACCGCGGCATAACTGTCCAATATACAAGTACAAGTACTAGAAGCATGATCAGTTTAGGGTTACTTTATCCTGCTGTAGGTCTCCTTTTTGTGATTTACTTGAACTCTATTACAGGGCACAAGGGGTATATGAACTAGTAGTCGCGGTCAGTGTATCCTGTGGTTGCCCAAAGCCTCTGTTAAAAAATATACCAATCAGTACTGGACAGTTCGAGAGTGGACCTGGAATGTTAGTGGCTCTTCGCCCCCCTCCCCCCTCCACCCACTCACCAGCACATAAATACATGGACACTCTGTCCAAACTGTGTAACAAAGAGAGTGTCGTTTTATAGATATATATAGGCCATTATGTATAAATTAGTGGTTAACTGTCATGAAGTCAGTGTGTGTGGCTGAAAGACAATACACATGCCAAGCCATCTGCCACTGGCGGTACTTAGTATTTGAACACACAGTCCCAGGCGTATGAAAAGACTGGAACGAAAATCGATGTAAAAGACCTAATTCGACCATACTTTAACCACTGCGAAAAGATTTTGTACAATAAAAGTGTTCCAAACTGACAAACCGTCACGAGATCATAGTCAACTTCTATAATACTGTGTTATTACTCCGTACAGTCTGTTCTTGAAGTTCGAGTGTACATAACACACGGGTTGCCATTATACTGGGACTTACACACTATGCTAACACAATCATTCATCGACACTGAGTTCTTCTCGTCGTCGTGTTCAATTAACAGTCAATTAAAACACTTACCTTGGATTACTATGAATAGGATCAGCAGGACTTCAGAGGAACCTGGACGATGCCGGAGTCCTCCGTTCATTTTCAATCAACACAGTCTATCACATGAGGGCGAGTCCTTCCTTGTCCAGTTATAGGTAATCCAGCGGCCAAGGGTAAATATACGGAGCTGTTATAATAAGAATCGTGTTTTGCTTGGTTTATCTTGAATAGTGTTGGGTCGTACGGTAGCGGTCACACCTGGATTATTCGGTGACGGAAGTAGTCTCCTCATAAATTAGCTCCCTCCTACCTGACTGTGCTGTAGCCTCGTGTGTAGTGAGCCCTCCATGGTTCAGCGCCCTGAGATTAACGCAGTGCGGTAAATATATGGAGTCACTGGGCAAATATGCGTAATGATGATGAACAATATCATACAGTCGTGCTGTTTAATAAATAACCGGTTTATATACATACATGTATTCTCATGGCTTATTGTGCATAACCTCAGTAAGAAAAATTGATTTAAAATAGGAAAAATAAAGAAAATTAAAAACCCAAAGCAGGTGTGGACCAGTGCTGAGGAAAACGATAATCCTTCCTTTTCCACCTTCAAAGCGATCGATTACATAAGACGCGTCTGTCAATCCAATGGTATGTCAGCGTCATGCGTCTATCCATTGGTCACCCCATGTGCTGTTGCAATGGGTTTTTACACTAGGAAGTAATTGGACTTTTCTTGGAAGGCGAACTAGGCGTAAATTAGAAAAATCCCTAGCTTTTGTATTCAAGGTTGAGCATAACTGAGTGAATTGGCTGTGCATTAATCTATACTAGGGTACTAAACCTGTGGTATTATGAATGCTTCGATTGACATCCTGTTCCGAGTATATAGTATGACAAAAAGACATTGTCGGAGAGGAAGAACTGATAATTTTAGAAGTAATGAAATTCAGAACCACATGTAACTTGTTTTCAAGTCATTTTCCTGTTAAACTAGTAGTAAACACTTCACCGATCTACGTGTAGGCCTACGTGTGCCATTAATGGAATGATACCTGCAGGAAATGCAACTGCCAAACTTATTTTCTATACTGTGAAAATAAACTGTTTTATATTTCAATCAACTTCTGAACATCAAACGTTTTCTTCATTTCCTTTCTTTTCACTTAACGATGAATCCAAAATATGAGGAACTCTGCTTATCATTATTTCTTGAAATATTATCGGAAAAATACAGATCTGTGCGAATTTTTATATTAGTTATCTTCGACATTTACATGTACAAGAAAAACTTTCGTTGATTGACAGATATTTTAAAAACATTGCTAATACATGTAGCGCGTTTTGATGGTAACCTTTCACCATAGGATCGGCTGTTATTTAACGAAACAAAAAGTAAACATTTAATTAAAGGTCACAGTCACATAGAAAATCTGCCAAGAGAAAACCTGCCATGAACATCATGTAGTCAAAACAAAAAAGACAAGTGAGATGTAGAGGAATTTAGTCTAGTCAGTATGACAAAATCGTAAAAGATACAGCTACAATCATTTGATGTCCACATCAACATCATCATAAAACCAATTCGTGCAATTAAACACAAGTATGTTATAATTATTTGATTGTCAACGGATAATGATATGCCGACCACTGTGCTAAATACACTGTACGTCTGTGGAGAGAAATGCTTCTTCGCCGATGAAGTCTTATCCTATTTGCCCAGTTTTTGGAATATCAGGCCTTGGTTTCGTAAAGCATGCGTACACATATACATGTACAAGTGTCAGCCTTCGTTTTTCATAGAATGCATATCTATGATATCTAAATGTGAGTTATGAAAAGTAACGTATAGTTTAAGAATGTTGTTCTTTTGAGCGACATATTTATCATTATGTGCCATGCAGGGNAGTTCGAGTGTACATAACACACGGGTTGCCATTATACTGGGACTTACACACTATGCTAACACAATCATTCATCGACACTGAGTTCTTCTCGTCGTCGTGTTCAATTAACAGTCAATTAAAACACTTACCTTGGATTATTATGAATAGGATCAGCAGGACTTCAGAGGAACCTGGACGATGCCGGAGTCCTCCGTTCATTTTCAATCAACACAGTCTATCACATGAGGGCGAGTCCTTCCTTGTCCAGTTATAGGTAATCCAGCGGCCAAGGGTAAATATACGGAGCTGTTATAATAAGAATCGTGTTTTGCTTGGTTTATCTTGAATAGTGTTGGGTCGTACGGTAGCGGTCACACCTGGATTATTCGGTGACGGAAGTAGTCTCCTCATAAATTAGCTCCCTCCTACCTGACTGTGCTGTAGCCTCGTGTGAAGTGAGCCCTCCATGGTTCAGCGCCCTGAGATTAACGCAGTGCGGTAAATATATGGAGTCACTGGGCAAATATGCGTAATGATGATGAACAATATCATACAGTCGTGCTGTTTAATAAATAACCGGTTTATATACATACATGTATTCTCATGGCTTATTGTGCATAACCTCAGTAAGAAAAATTGATTTAAAATAGGAAAAATAAAGAAAATTAAAAACCCAAAGCAGGTGTGGACCAGTGCTGAGGAAAACGATAATCCTTCCTTTTCCACCTTCAAAGCGATCGATTACATAAGACGCGTCTGTCAATCCAATGGTATGTCAGCGTCATGCGTCTATCCATTGGTCACCCCATGTGCTGTTGCAATGGGTTTTTACACTAGGAAGTAATTGGACTTTTCTTGGAAGGCGAACTAGGCGTAAATTAGAAAAACCCTAGCTTTTGTATTCAAGGTTGAGCATAACTGAGTGAATTGGCTGTGCATTAATCTATACTAGGGTACTAAACCTGTGGTATTATGAATGCTTCGATTGACATCCTGTTCCGAGTATATAGTATGACAAAAAGACATTGTCGGAGAGGAAGAACTGATAATTTTAGAAGTAATGAAATTCAGAACCACATGTAACTTGTTTTCAAGTCATTTTCCTGTTAAACTAGTAGTAAACACTTCACCGATCTACGTGTAGGCCTACGTGTGCCATTAATGGAATGATACCTGCAGGAAATGCAACTGCCAAACTTATTTTCTATACTGTGAAAATAAACTGTTTTATATTTCAATCAACTTCTGAACATCAAACGTTTTCTTCATTTCCTTTCTTTTCACTTAACGATGAATCCAAAATATGAGGAACTCTGCTTATCATTATTTCTTGAAATATTATCGGAAAAATACAGATCTGTGCGAATTTTTATATTAGTTATCTTCGACATTTACATGTACAAGAAAAACTTTCGTTGATTGACAGATATTTTAAAAACATTGCTAATACATGTAGCGCGTTTTGATGGTAACCTTTCACCATAGGATCGGCTGTTATTTAACGAAACAAAAAGTAAACATTTAATTAAAGGTCACAGTCACATAGAAAATCTGCCAAGAGAAAACCTGCCATGAACATCATGTAGTCAAAACAAAAAAGACAAGTGAGATGTAGAGGAATTTAGTCTAGTCAGTATGACAAAATCGTAAAAGATACAGCTACAATCATTTGATGTCCACATCAACATCATCATAAAACCAATTCGTGCAATTAAACACAAGTATGTTATAATTATTTGATTGTCAACGGATAATGATATGCCGACCACTGTGCTAAATACACTGTACGTCTGTGGAGAGAAATGCTTCTTCGCCGATGAAGTCTTATCCTATTTGCCCAGTTTTTGGAATATCAGGCCTTGGTTTCGTAAAGCATGCGTACACATATACATGTACAAGTGTCAGCCTTCGTTTTTCATAGAATGCATATCTATGATATCTAAATGTGAGTTATGAAAAGTAACGTATAGTTTAAGAATGTTGTTCTTTTGAGCGACATATTTATCATTATGTGCCATGCAGGGAACGAATCATCTCTTTGAGGCTAGTTTTCTTCTTCTAAGCCACTATGGAGCAGTTGTCTGCCATTGTATTGTGAGTTTAAATGATTGTGCTTATGACTGCGCTTGTTGAGATAGAAATGTGGCGGCTCACTTGAGTTGCCGTGCTAGGCTTTTTTCGTGACATTTATATGTATTTTTCATAAAATTTCATTGTGGATATTAAAGTGTAAAATAAATGACAAGAAAACAGATATATTTTACATCATTAATAAATGCGTTTCTCGAACTACCGACAATGATAATATATCGCAGGCAAAATAAATATTGAACAAATAGTGTCCAGAGTTACGGAAGCGTGTAAGGGTCACAACACCACACACGAACGTCACAACAACCCACACGAGACTCACAACACCACACACAAAACTCACAACACAACCCGAACAGTACAACTACATGTAACTATAATTGTATTCTGGATAAATGTATTTAACGTATCTACAGGTACATGTATGCATCCACCTGGGTGGATGAAAAAATGGCAATATAGATGTAATTTTAAATGAGTATGCTATTGACCAATTACAAGGTGTACAAGGGGTATGAATACTTACTTAGGACGATTGTGCCAAGTTACTATTACTACTACTCAATACAAAAATATGTGTCGTACACGTTTTTTAACAGTCAAACACACTGTGAAAATACAATTAGAGAGCTATTTTGTCCATTATATAGCATTATATTGTATAGTTTTTTTTGTACCATCTACATAATGTACCAATACCATTTTACAAACAGTCATATCAAGTCACCCATCCAAATTTTGAAATAAATGACATAGGGTAAAGTGACTCTCTACAACCCAGGATTACGATTTGTATTCCAAGCATAAAGCATTCTCAAATATTGGTGAAATACTCTAAAGTTGGCTATTATGAAAATTAAAATGGTTTACCTAAAAAAATGACCGTCCATACAACCAGGAAGTCTTTCGTCGTTCAACGTCTACAGTATATCGTCTATAATAAAACACCCCCCTCAGAGGGTTTAGTAAATATCAATTTTTTCTTTCTCTCTTTCTTTTCTTTTTTTAGCTATATCCCAAACATGTACCTTAATTTTTGTCAAAATCAATACCGCACAAATGAACAATTGTTACTAAATAATATAAATTTTATACATATTGTTTCCTACAGACAGTCGGCACCACAAATGTACAGATGATATATTATGAAAGTGTCATCTGTCTACACGTCATTTACATGGCGGAAATCTATACCTAATCACCCGAACACCAAGTATACATATAGTACTTGTGCTTGTATTATGTTGAGTATACCATGTAGCTATATCAAATAAAGCAGTAAAATTATTATCTATCAAAACACAAGAAATGTAAATGGGGCATATCCTGAATATATAATATGCATGGAATAATAAAGGCACTGTCCATAACTACCCAGTTTGTCCAGTTTATAAACAAGAGGGACGTCCCTTTTAGGGCATGATCGATGACCAAATGACCAAAATTATCAGAATCTTCCGGCGTATGAACCCTGTTTGTACAGAAACATATTTTAGCGTGCAAACATACATGCACTGTGCGTACAGATTTGATATATAAACGTAAATTATATGTGCAATGCATTCCGATATATCCGTTATATCTGAAAGTTGGCGTAGGTGTCAAATCTTCTGGCGTACTCTTCAACTGCAGTATAGCAAAATTTATACTGGGCCTGAAAAGACAGAAAAGAAAAATGTACCTGATAAATGAATAATTAAAGAATAAGTACATAATGTCATTAATATAATAATTAATAACTGTGTGAAACACCCTGCAAGCATGAGTCATCTGAAAAATTTGACCTCCTCCTGTAACACATTATCATTAAAACACTGCAAGTGAACTAGGTTCGCTTATGAACATAACTTTAATGGATTCTATGGATATAAGGGTATATTCACGTACCAAACTGTCTATGAACTGTGGTCTGTTGATTCGCACGGCTTTGACTGTGTGAAACACGTCCACCTGTTGTTCCACTTTCATCTTCTCTAATATTCTGGACACGGCACAGAAAACGCCGCTCTGGTGAGCTCCGTTCCTAAAATGAAAATAAATGTCTTCTTACAGACGAGAAAGATACATGTAGTATGTTTAAAAAGCAAAACATTGTGGAAATGGCTTAAAATTGCACCCAGTATATTATTAGTATAAAAATGCAGTGTACAAAATAATGCATGGTGGAAATAATAACAAGGCTGTATGGGCAGGACTGAAGGGACGCAGTCAAGTATAGTTTGGTATAGTACAATTAAATACTAACTGAAGAAATTTTTCCCTAAAAAAAAAAATAATAATAATAAAAAAAATAAAATAAAAAAATGTAAAATTATTGTATAATTATTACCAATGAATCAATTGAAAATTAAAGTGTATAATTATTGTATAATTATTACCAATGAATCAATTGATTTAAATTTCATTTTTTAAATTTCATTTTCAATAAAGTCTTACATGCAGTGCACAGTAATGGTTGTGTTCCCACTCTGCTGTTGCCAGCGCTGTACTTCATCTAGTAGTTCTAAGAGCTCTTCTGTTGAGGACGGCGTGGGATCTGATGTCTTCCACCCTTGAAGCTGGAACTGGCGTATCTTGCGCGGCTCTTCTTTCGTCTGGAATTACACAATTGAACAAGATGAAGCTAAGTGCATCTCTCTCTCTCTCTCTCTCTCATATCAGGCAGTTGCCGTGAAATCCTCCTACTAATATCTGCTGTATAGCATAGAAATCTATGTAATCGCAGTCTCAAAGAAAAGAGCCTATGTAATCGCAGTCTTCTAGATAGCCTACAATACAGTGAGTATTTGATCCTGGTATCAGCTTAAACTTGGAGAACAATCATACATTACAAATACAGAAATAAAATATTTGTTCAAATGGGAAGCATGAGCGCATATATGCTTTGGTGACATACCCGTTTTATATTTTTCAGCTCAAATTCCTTTACAATACAAGAATCCCCACTCTTATATGTAGACACCACTTCCACTGTGAAAGGTCCATATGTCGCTGAGCCAGATTCAGGCCAGTACACAGCGGCTGTCTATAAAGATAAATAAGTAAATAAATAATAAAGCAATTTGATCTTGAGCCTAGATGAAAAAAATTAACGTCATATTTAGAAAATTAAAGAATCATGAAAATATAATTGGTGGTGTATATATTTGCATCTTTTTAGCTACCGATATATTTAAGACTCAAAGCATTAATTAATTCATCATTATACTTAAAGTAGACAGACGTCTACAGCAACATCAAGTATATAATCAAAACGATGAATGGACAGTTCTACCCTCTGGATGCAACCTATAGTATACTGGGAAAGCGAAATAGATGCTGACGCCTTTCGAATATCATAGCAAAAACACATGAGCCGGGTTGTTTTCATGGCTTTGTATATACATGTAACTTAAAATTAATAGGTCAAGCACACCTTATCCATCTTGGTTCCTTCATTCATCATGACTATTGTAGCAGAATTGTGATCATACATCATCCTCCAGAAGTCCACCACAGTATCAGGTAAAGGCATCTGTGTCACGATGTAGGCATCGCCTTGGCGGTAGCCCTGGAGTGATGTTGAATAAAATAGATCTTAATCATCGGTTTAATAAACTTATACGTGTATCAACACTTAACTATGGTTGATAGTAATTTTAATGCTTATTTATTTTAAAAAAGGAAATTTCTGCTCACCTACAGTATATTCCAAGGAGAAAGAAGAAATACCAATTATTAAGTAATTACAAAAACCCATTTTGTTCATCGTTCGTACTTGTTATGAATTTGATTTCAAGAGTCATGTCCTTCCTTATATGCAAAAATAAATTCTCCCTTAAACTAGGATCGTCAATAAACGTTATACAAAAATGACGGAGAGTTATGTCATGTGCTGGCTTACATCTATGAAGACAGCATTGATGTAGTCAGTACCGCCATCTACCGGCGTGGAGAGATAAGGTCTGCATCCGTTTGCTGGGGTAATGTTCCTGACACGGTTTTTGTTCACATTGGCTGGATCCAATGCTGCTTTGTTTGTGTCATCAGATCCAACAAACATGTATTGAAGGACCTTAAAACAGACCATAAAATCCCATATAGATCAAAACACACTAGGACCCTTGCCGATCATTATATATACATGTATATAGCATGAAAAACATTTTGGTTCATAAATTCATGGCGCCATCGTAAAAATGTGTTTGCAAAATGTGTATCAAATACTACAATGGACGACGTCATACAAATTTATGCACTAGTAAAGGAACAGATTGAATAGAATTGAAAACAAAATTAAAATCTGTGAAATTTTAATTCTTTAAGCAACTTTGATAATATCATTTGTTCTTTGCTCGCTCATATTTTTTATTATTTTCAATCTTAATCTCTTTAAGGTCATGAACATTATGTCCTTTAACAGAGAAATTAATTTTTTATATGTACACTCACAGCAAACTCTCCCTCTAATTTTGACAGGCCGGATTTACTGTCCACCTGATCAAGTCGATGTAGATATGGCTGTAATTCCTGTACAGGGATTGTCGTAGTTCCACAGAACAGCTCCTCTAACATGACGTCATGGACGAAGTAGTATTGCTCCTAAATTTGAAAATTTTATCATTTTTAACATAAAAATACAGAAAAACTTGTTCTTAATTTTTCCAGCAAGCTACAATTGTGTACGATAATTACTCGATCTTTTCAATAAGAATGTTCTAATTTCTAAAATTTATGACTTTAAAAATACAGTATCTGTAAAATTTGGAATTTTTCCCATTGAAAAGATAGAGTAAATACTGTATGTGCAGATCGATAAACAGCTTAGCAGATTTTGTTAATTACGCAGGCATTTTCAATGAGTGAGTACAAAATACTTTGTACCGAAATTTAAAAAATCATTCTGATAAAAGTTAGAGTGACATTATGATTCAATGTAAACTAGCCTCAGTTTGTATCATCATCGGACGTGAACCTCTCATCTGTTGAACAAGGTTGAATATGTTGATCTTCCCTTCAGCCTCGGCTTGGTCTAACAGGTAGTCCAGGGCGATGAAAGTCCCAGTCCTACCGACACCAGCACTATTGGAGAAATTAAGCAGTGGTGAAATACAGCTATATTTTTAAAATATTTTAGTGTAAATACACTGTAAGACTACAACTGTATTATGAAAATGATACAAACAGCAATTCTAAAAGTAAACGTGTTTATAATTAGTAATAAAGAACTTTAAAATTATAGGATTTTTACAGACAATATTCATATTTTTAAGTATAGCCATGTTGATATCAAGGGTAATAGCTGGTTTAAAACAATGTTTTTAGAACACTTCAATTAAATAAACAGAAAAAAAGTTAGAGGTTCTTCATCACTCACACTTGGCAGACGGGCCTTATATGAAATAGTTAGAGGAAATTTTACGTTCAAATATAAAATACTCTCCCCACCTGCAATGGACTATGGTGGGACCCCGACCTTCCACCCTTCTCTGATAACCTTTGACCCCCTCTCGAAACCGCACCAACGCTGAGGCGTCTACGGGCACTCCGTGGTCAGGCCAGCCGGTGAAATGGAATTGTCTTACCGTCTTTGTGGGGGAATTGGACTAAAACAAATTATAGGTATCTAATAATTGGTTTATTACATCAAATTACCACCGACTTGTTTTATGTAGAGTCCTGTAAATTATTGAAGCTGAGAAGAATGAGATATTTTGCTAGATGACAAATGTGGATTTAGTTTTATTTCCTAGAGATTGAATATTTGCTGACCTACCACAGACATAAGCAGCGTCCGCACAGTGAAATCAGGATGAGTTTCTTTTTTCTTCAAAGTCACAGATACTATGCCGAAGCGTTCATTGCCTTTATCAGGCCAATATTTAGCACATTTCGCCTAGAAACGAAAATAATGCATAATGCAGTAATCTTTTGTTAACCAATACTATGTACAGCTAGAAAAAAGCACCCAGAGACAACTCAGTTCTCATTACTATTAATTAATTAACTATTAATCTAAGTATTGAGATAGAGTCAAGTCCTGTGTGAGACAATATACTGCCACCTTAGCGATATATGCCAGAGCACCAGGGAGGGCATCAGGGTGCGGTGTTCATGGCACATATCGCCAGAGGGTGACAGTGTATAATATTGCATACATACCAAGAGAAAGGACTCACAATACACCGAAAAACACCCCTAAACCTAGTAAAGCGTGTATAGCACCGGTCGCATAATATCACTGGGTATGTATTTTATAAATGCATTTGTGGCATATGGAGACAAGGGCAAAATTCAGGTAACGTTGTTATTGATTGGCTGGTGACGAAAAAACAAACAAACAAACAAACAAACAGGCAAACGGAGACAATAACAACCTCCTTGGCGGAGGCAAACATAAATACAATTGCAAACAAACGCTAATCCATTTAGAGGTTGAAAATACCTTGCCATTTTCTGCCAAGTTCGTCACCATTACAATCAGGGGTGAATGTTCCTGCCAGACCATTCGCCAGAAGTCGTTCACCGTGTTTGGTTTCGGACCTAATGAATTTAAGCAAACATTTAATTATTCAATTTTAATTACAATAAGGCAGTCACATTATGATATGAATGATAGAATTTGCAACAACAGAAAAAAAATTAAAAGACGGTTCATAAGAATACTGAACAATATCAACAATGCTAAGAAATGATATAAACTTTTAATCACCTACCTTGAGCGGCAATAAATGCTTTACTCTTCTTGTAGCTCTGTAACAGAAAATAATATAAAAGAAAACATAAAATGTACCACTGAAATATATCCCTTGATATTTAAATTTGAAAAACAATAGATACTAGTACTAGTACATGTATGTCGATTAAAGATCAGGAACAAAATAGGCATTTTTTTGTACAAACAGAACCATTTTAGCTGCAAAAGCACATCTATTCACTTACGTCGATATAGTTAGCGTTGATGTAATCGGAATGAGGATCATCCGGGAGTGGAGTCAGTGCGATTCGAGAGTGGTCATCTATAATAGCAAGTAAAATAGACACTATCATTGACTTATTACAGAATTAAACATTTTACACAATTATACCTGTAAGATTCCACAAAATATTCCTCTAGTGAATGATTAGAAGAAAGCACTGTAGTGTTTGAATTTCAGCTACGTATTAATTAATAACAACAAATGGTATGCCTAATAATATTTTTGTAAATATTCAAAATAAGTGCGTTTGATCTACTTACAGGCCATGATGTTTTTAAATCTATTCTTCGTGTGATTTTCCGGCTTCTGACCCACTGTACATTTCGCAGTGAATACTGTAGGGAATTTCTACAGAATAAGACAAATTTTGCATAAACCAACGGGGTTATCTATTACAATACCTATCGAGTATCTTGTGGAAAAATTTTACAGTTCATATTGGCTGGGATACCATTTACCCAAGTATAAACGGCTTTTATAGGATTGAAGATGTAGAAATAAGCAGTATCCTACCTCATATTCCGCTTTCAATGTATCCCTACTTTTAGTCTTCATTATTGCGAAGATTTCGCCTACAGGTATATCGGTGCCCTGCTCCACGTTGCCGTACAAAGGCTCTTGGAAATTGTCCATATATGAATTTTCCGACAGCGGGCGTTCTGAAGGTTCGTTATCTGTGGTAAGATTATAAAACAAAATTAATAAATGCAGATAATGACATACTTTCGGAGGTTTCCAAAAGCTTACCCATATAAATAGAGGGGGGTACTATATGCTTTAAAGAGGGACTCTTTCAAAGGTGCAGTAATCAAACCTCTTCTGAAAAAGAATAACTTGGATCATAATGTCTTTAATCACTATAGACCTGTGACTAATCTTTCTTTCCTGTGGTTGAAAAAGTCATGGCAACGAGGCTATTTGATCATCTAAAACAGAATAATTTGGTGGAACAAATGCAATCGGCTTATAAAGCAAAACATAACACTGAGCTTGCTCTTTAGAGAATAAAAAAATGACCTTCTGACTGGTGTTGACAATCATTCTGCAGTCGTACTGGTACTATTATATCTTTCAGCAGCATTTGATACAGTCGACCATGTCACTCTTCTATCATTTATCGAGAAATCAGCTGGAATTAAGGACAAGGCATTGTCTCTTCTACGGTCTTATCTTACTGGTGGAACACAGCAGATATCCATCAACGGTGTACTTTCAGATCTTGAGCAAATGATTTTTGGTGTTCCACAGGGCAGCGTTCTTGGACCAATTAAATTTTGCATTTACACACTACCCTTGGGTGCTATACTACGATATCAGCAAGTTGGCTATCACATATATGCAGACGACACCCAGTTGTACCTTAACTGTGATATTCTTAAGCCTGGAGATGCAATAACTAGAATGACCTATGCCATTTCAGATTTGCGAGAATGGATGATCAAAAGTAAACTAAAATTAAATGATGAAAAAACAGAATTCATGGTCATGACTCAACCACACTCAAAACACTTAGCTGAAGGACTATCTCTACAAATTGGATCTGCAATAGTTGGGGTTTCTCCTCATGCAAAAAACCTGGGGGTGTATTTTGATACTACTTTAAACGTGGTCAAGCAGATAGCCAATGTGAAACAAGGCAGCAAAGCTGTCAAATGTACAGACAAAAAACAGNTGGCAGTCTGAGGTTGTCCTAGGTGGTTTTCAACTTTATGCACCGGGTTTTAATATCATTTAGCGATTTTACGACAACCGTTTACTATCCAATCAAGGTGACAGCCGAGCGTGGTTGTAAATGTAATAAGCACGGAATTTCGAACACATATTAGACATTAAAAACACCATTAAACATTTTGCTACAAGTAATAAACAGGGTGAAGGGGGGGGGGGGGGGGTAAGGTCACGTCAAAGGTAGGTCTCGAACCCATAGATGCATTATTACAATTCATGAATTCTTACTTTGTGGTCTTGCACGCTAACCACTACACAGGACCTGCCGGTCGCTATAAACACTAGCCTTTTAGTATTTCTGTACATGACGTGTACAACGTCAGCATTTCAGTCACAATGTACGTACTCTCTGATGACGGAGCATTTAAAATATTAAGTTCTGTGACAGGGGCGTAACCAGACCTTTTAAAATTGTACGCACAGATTTTCAAAATTCCCCAGTGTCCCAGTTGTCAATGCTTTTTGCCACTGCATGCAGTGCTCCAACGCGAAAATGGAGGCCATGCAGTCTTGCCCCAACGAACATTTTCTAGCCTCCTTGCGAAATTCTGGTGTTTCATGCGTGGTTTGTAAAACTTATTAATCTAAAGCAAATGCATGACCTACTGGAACTTACTTTATTGTTTTGAGCCCGGACTACTGCCACGGTCATTCATGCCCTAGTAACATCAAGGCTTGATTACTGTAACTCCTTGCTTTATGGATGCGGCATAGAAAGAACAAAGAAAGTCCAACGCATTCAAAATATATCAGCACGTCTTCTTACCCGAACTTCTATAGAGAATCACATGACACCGATATTAAAACAACTTCACTGGCTACCTGTAAACGCCCGGATCTTATTCAAACTTTTAACTCATGCTCAAGCGGCTTTTTATGGACTTGCACCAGATTTTATTTGTGATCATGTATCTCATTACACACCAAATCGTACCTTAAGATCTAAGGATCAATTATTACTAAAACCACAGAACGCAAGACTAAAATCTTTTGGCGAAAAATCATTCCAGTACGCGGCACCACATGACTGGAATAAATTACCTGTAGATTTGAGAAGCATTAGCTCAGTGAAGGATTTTAAAAAAGCTTTAAAAACATACCTTTTTAACAAATTTTATTAAAGAACATTTCATAACTTGGAAATATTAACTGGACATCATTATCTTAACTCAGACTATTAAGTCATGATTTTATTAATTCATCTTACTGTATTTTTAGTTTTTAGTCTGTAAAGTTTACAGAACATATTTTATGGATTTTAGACCTGACCCCCCCCCCCCCCACCCTTCGCTTTTTGAAGAAAAATCACACTAATATTCCCTTCTTGGAATTAAAATTTTGACTAGTTGATTTTTATGGGCCCTAAAATAAATTGGGGCCCTTCAGAGGGCCCCGAAACCCCACAACAAGGTTGCCGAGGGTCTGCCTCGAATCCGAAGCCTGTCATTTAAAAAAAATGATCCCCTTCAAATCCTGGATCTGCCCCTGTCATACCTCCTATAAACCACGTTCAGCAGATAAAATGGTATCTTCTTTGCAGAATTATTTGCCAATTATATTTTTCTTAAAATTCGCATCGTCGCAATTGCTTTATACGTTTGAAAGTTTTGTAATGATTTCATGTTCTTATAGGGGCTTGCTTAAACCAAAAACCGTCCCGGAGTGGCCCCACTGTGCTCTTTAACGTCAGAACCCAAACTAAATCTCAGCATAAAACAAAGTCAAAGAATAAAAAGATTATGGAGAATGTGTTGTTAAAATGTGTGGAAATACCCAGGCAGGGTTTTAACTTTTATTATGAAGACTCAGTTATGACCTTGGGTGTAATTTGGTAGCATTTACAGTGCTCTCCAGATTTTATCGGCTGGGCCTCGTAACTCGAATGCATCGCGCATTGCGACCGAGCCGCAGCGCAAGCGTCTTGATTCCATAACTCGATCATACTCGCTCCATATACATGGCCAGAAATGCGCAGCATTCACGCGATACGCGAGGGCGCTACAGTAGGACTTCACGTGACTCAACTAGCCAATCAAAGCACAACAATGGCATCGCACACAGACTCTGTGATAAGTGCTCAGCCCATTGTCAAGTAGTGTTAGTTCATGGTAACAAGCGTCTGACATGTGCAGAAAAGTTTATTGTAATATATATATTGTTCTTATTGTTACATTATTAAATCTAACTCTGTATCCAAGTAGCAATTATACTGTACCAAGTCAGGTACTGATGATGTGCAGAGCCTAGGTCATATATTCCAGAATAAGCCATTACCACTAATTTATAACTTTAATTTTGTTTAATATGTTATTCATGAAAGAGTTCATGGAAAATTATTTTAATTTGTTAAATCGTGATCTTATTCTTTTTATATTCAAATAATTGAATAATGTGGGTAAAATTGGTCTTCCACTTCTTATTTGCATTTTTCCTTTACTACAAGATTATTTTGGAACAGTTGCAGCATTAAAATTTAGAATAAATAGCAATCTGAAAGAAGAATTTTGCATTATTATTAAATGATGATAGCAATTTTGGATTAGGAGATTAGTTAAATACTGAGTAGTGACATTGTCAGTCAATTTATGTAGAATCTGATAATATGATTGAAAATACTGATTGAATTCTTGGCCTTGCACTGGGCAGTTTCACATTTGTGCCAAGTGCTTTTTTTGGACTCCATTGTACAGTGGTAAAAGTTCTTCAATTGCCATGAAAGTTTTTAATCAGACTCTGTATGGTGCTGCTATCTGCTGGTGCTATCGGCAACGAATTAGTTCGCCTTTGTTTCTGAGTGAATCAACAAAATCTATCTCCACACAGACGCTCGCGACATGTACTATTGGACATGGGTCAGTTGAAAGCGACATTAACCTAAATGGCTAATGTTACTTTCAGCCAATTAATTTGAAACAGAAGGACCGTCTTAAAACCCTTTATATTTGAATCCTTGAAAATAGAAATATGAGGCCATATAATTATTACAAGCAATTAGCCACACTGTTATCTAGATAGCACTCAATTATGATGGGATTCAAATGAAAAAAATGTTTTGGGACAGCACAACACTGTTTCAAATTAATTGGATTTGACATATAAGAGTTGACTGAAAGTAACATGAGCCCTTTAGGTTAATAGGGTTTCAACTGACCCATGTCCAATAGTACATGTCGCGCGCGTTTGTGTGGAGATAGATTTTGTTGGAGGTTTGTAAGAGTTGAAAGCGACATGACTCTCAAATTACGTCAACTTCGTTTATAAGTGTCTACTTATTCAGCTGCGAAAATCACACGTAATGCCTATTTCATGTTTTATAACAGTGTCATTTGAGAGACGAACGCGACATGGGTCGTGTCAATCTCGCATCTGTGGAGTTCAGTAAGTGGCGAAAGAGACACAGCCATGTCATTTTCGGCTCTCAAAGCTCTGTAGTAAAAGACGAACTCGGCATAGGCCTTGTCGTTTTCGCATGTAAAGGGGCGTCTAAAAGACGCACGCGTAGGCTCCTATGGGCCATGGTACTATTCATTTTCCTATGGCAATCTAACAACTCATTAAAAGTGCACACATGCGCAGTGGGCTAAGCATGACGTCATGCAGTGCATTTCTGGGGATGAATATATTGTAACCTCTGTGTGATATCGCCATTCGCAATACGCGATGCTTTACGGAGCCTGCAGGCTCCGTAACTCGAAAGCTTCGCTATGTTGCGCACGTGCGCAAGTGTCTCGATTCCATGGCCCCGTATCTCGAAATAGAATCGGTTATGGAATCGAAACATTATTTTCAATGAGGGACCATTCCCAGACCCTATCGTAATAAATAAGGATCGATCCATCTCCTAGGGGATTCTCGATTCCATAACTCGCCCATACTCGCTCCATATAATATATTGTAACCTCTGTGTGATATCGCCATTCGCAATACGCGATGCTTTCGAGGTACGGAGCCTGCAGGCTCCGTAACTCGAAAGGTTCGCTATGTTGCGCACGTGCGCAACATAGCGAACCTTTCGAGATACCGAGCCCTGGTTAGCATTATTTTCAATGAGGGACCATTCCCAGACCCTATCGTAATAAATGAGGATCGATCCATCTCCTAGGGGATTCTCGTTAAATTGCAATCATTTTAAGCGGCTTAGATGTCTGTCACGCCTACTAAAGCTGCTAGGGGGCAATTAATTATCATTAAGCAGATTCAGTAGGCGTGCTAGACATCTAAGCCGCTTAAGCTGAAAGCAATTTAGCCACAAATCCCTAGGAGATGGATCGCCCCTGTTAGATCGATCTAGGTATGGGAACCTTGTCTTAGTGTCAAGGCAATATTTATACACAGCTGGGTTGGGTCGATTAAATCAATAATACCTGTATCAAGTGAATTTGGAAGTTAGTGGTTTAATTTTAGATTTGGTGTAGCGTTAAGGGTAATTCTATTTTGCAAGTATAATCTACCTCAGGTGTCATTTAATTGACATATAACCTCATGAATTGAATTTGCACTTTCCTCTGTAAAAATGTTAAATTCTGCTTCTTCCAACTGTAATGTTGTAGGTTACAATTTGAATAAAAATCAATATTGTTATTATTATAAATAATACACATTTAGGAAATTGATCAGGCCTTCCCCACTAAGAAACACTAATTGGGTGCAAGTAAATGTTGAAAATCAAAAAACCACTAATGGTTTTAATAACAGGTACAAAAGGCAGCTAGACGACACGAAAGGGAGAGGCAGCAAAAATTACTGCTAGATCATGTATGAAGCAGCACTCAGAACTTAAATTTAACACTGAAAGAAAAAAATCAGTTACTCTCCTTTGTCAGAGGAGTTTTGAGAAAATTACACTTAGGTTCTGAATTTAACTGGTTTTCCTACGGTTACTTTGTTTTTTAATGATTGTTTTTGAAGAGAATCTGCCAAGTATTTTTATTTGTTCTCTATTCCAAATGTTTATGACACTCTGTTGAAGCCAAGAATACTTCTGTCAAGCCAGTATTAGTTAATTGCATGTGACTTTAAAGTGCCCTTCTCAATTCCAAGGTTTTCCCTGTGCCACTTTTGCCGCCTAGATCCACTGGCTATAATTGCTGATCGATCAGCTATGAAAAGGACCTGCCGGTCGCTAAACACTAGCCTTTTAGTATCTCTGTACAGGACATGTACAACGTCAGCATTTCAGTCGCAATGTACGTACTCTCTGATGACGGAGCATTTAAAATATTAAGTCCTAAGTGTCCCAGTTGTCAATGCTTTTTGCCACTGCATGAAGTGCTCCAGCGCAAAAATGGAGGCCATGCAGTCTTGCCCCAACGAACATTTTCTAGCCTCCTTGCGAATTTCTGGTGTTTCATGCGTTGTTTGTAAAACGTATTAATTTAAAGCAAATGCATAATCAACTGGAACTTACTTTCTTGTTTTGAGCTCAAATGGAATATCCACGCTTGGACTCAGAATCAGATTCTCCCAAACAACTCAATGCAAATGTGTAGTAAAAAAAATGACACCGATGTGTATTTCCCACAACATCAGTGTTATCAACCGAAAGGGAAGGGCCCCTCATAATCTATTATTGATGTGCAACATAATGTCAACAATGTTTTGCATTTCATGTGTACTTTTATTCATACAAAATGTGCACTTTTCCTATACGTTCACCAGGCTAAAATTGTCTGACACAAATGTCTCGATGTCAGACATTCATTGAACTTGTCAGACATTACATTTGAAAAACATAATTTTTCAAGTTTTAATTATATAGACAAGTCTGATAACAACAGCGGCACAAAAAGTCCCTACAACAGGTTGACTGTGAAGTAGAGGGCTCATTGTTCTACCCTCTACCAGGGCAACAGATTGATTTTCTACAGATATTCACAGACATGTCTCTAGATAAATAGACAGTCATTTTGGTCTGATGTCGATTCAGACAAAAATGTTCACTGCGACCCTGGTAGAGGGAAGATATTATATTTGAGTTCAAAACAATAAAGTAAGTTCCAGTATGCTATGCATTTGCTTTTAATTAATAAAAAAAGTTGTACAAACAACGTACTTAACCCCAGACTTTCACAAACTTAGGATAGAAAAAACTCGTTTGTCCAAGACTTACTCGTATCAATTAATGCATGACCTACTTTTTCGCGCTGGAGCACTCCATGCAGTGACAAAAAGCGCTGTCAACTACAGTTTGTAAGCTAGTAATATTTTAAATGCTCTGTCGACGATAGTACGGACATTGTGCCCAACATTCTACACCCAAACCCAATATAGAGGTGCATTTCACAAGTTTCACAAGTCTCAAAAAATGGAATTGAATGAATTCGATGTATTATCCAATTTTTTAAAACTTACAGGTGTATAGAACGAAAATCCACAAACGTCCCAATTTTACGCCCACGCATTTCTGTTTTGTAAGCAAATAAATTGATAACTGTTTGAAGTGACAAAAGCGTAAGAAAGAACATACGTTACCACTGAATCGCCTGATACAAACACGATCATTAGTTGAGCGCTGTGGAAATTTGTGCAAGCTAAACACTATCAGAACCCTATGAGTCATTAATAATGGAAAAGTGATAGGAAAATACATTTAAATTGACCAGATCTAGGAAAATTACTTTCAAACTAAAGATCATTTTTCTTTACAATGTCCACGTTGACGACTCTTTCAATAGCAGTAATTGTCAATTGTATAGAGAATTGAAAACTTTGTTACCTAAAAGTTATCTACCACTGGTCATATTCGTCGTGAATTTAAAACTCATTGAGTTACTTAAAGTAACTTATAGTAACTGGCTCGCGCTGCCAGTAATTACGCCGCGGGATATTCAGGGCACAGACCGTGATCATAAGACATACCGCGAACAGAAAATAGAATTTAGAAAATAGACATTGCATGTGAATGAAGCCTTAGAAACAGATATCACTTTAGAGTTCAAGGGTCTCTACGGTCCTTATCAGTCGCTATTTAAGATAAATTATAGGCTGAATGATTTCTTGTAAAAGTTTCCTTGAGATTACTTAGATGTTCATACTGTTTTTACTCTGCCAACGTGCTGGATGATTTTTTTTATTTGGGTTACTGGCGCTCTTGGGATTTACTATAGTCGTCTCGTTCCAAAAATATTATACAGCTTGGCTTTTTTTTCCCTGCTACTCCCATCCGTCGACTTTTCGACCAATTCATCCACTTTTCGCGAGTTCTCGGCCAACGATTCCGGCAAATGCCAGTAGCAGCGGAAAGAAATCTTACTACTGTCGTCAGGGACGCAACTTATTTACCAAACAAAGGCATGATGGTACATGTACATGTAAATTTAAATACGGAAAGCACTGATAATCTACTTACTGACAAGACTCCCACAAGTCTCCAGATGTTACCTGGACAATTTGTTTTTTATCAACTTGCACGGTGGATGCGTTGTAGCGCACAGTCGTTGCTAGGTTAAAAACCAAAGCAGTTTCTTTTTCACAAAAGACTCGCGGGGTGACGTTGTTTCCATTTCTAACACGGGTATTGATTTTTCTTTTTACAACGTCCAGAATCTTCGACAGCAGAGGACATCTACACCGCAATTTACTCACCACACCCACATCTATCGCAATCACCTCTGAGTTTGTGTTAGTTCCTTGATCTGATGAAAAGCTAAGAAATAAAACACCAGTTCTGTTCAGTCCATTTTTATTCCAGTGATATCAAATGAGAAGAATTTTAACATTTATATTTACAGACTAAAAAAAACTTCAAAAAATGATATGTTTTTGAATATACACTGTATATCATTCAGATAATTTTATCAGCTGAGCGATGTTTTTCTACTTTTCACCAACTTTTTCTTGGACTGGTATTGCCAATCTGTAAGGTATTCTAGATCTATTGTCCAGTTTACAATAAATACATTTAAAGAAATCCAATGTAATTATAAATGTATGTAATATATACAGGTCTTAATTAAATCTGATCATTTTAATTTATATTAATTTATATATTAAACTTTTGATTCACTTATACATATATAAAATTATCTTGTGATGCACACATTTTTGACTGTGTATTTTCATTGTGTCAATGTATGAGATTGTTGGGAGTTAAGTGACGCATTCTATCTTGACATTCTATATTATCAGAGCATAAATAAATGTTGCTGCACACATAAAATATTAGTGTATGGCAAAGAAATTAAGGTCACAGCATCTGAATGTATATAGAGTAAATTAAAATTATTTATATATTAAGAACACTTTATCTTTTCAGGGCACTTAGCTGAATGAAATCAGAAAATATCAGTAATTACTCGATCTATTCAATGGGGAAAATTCTGAATTTTACAGATACTGTATTTTTTTAAATCGTAAATTCTGAAAATTCAGAAAATTAGAACATTCCTGTTGAGTGATTACAACACAACTGAAAAGCAGGATACCTGATAGTTCTCTTCTATACAGAGAAAATACCTGTACCACAATGATTCCAAAATTATGCATCTGAAAAATTGATATTTTCCCCCCTTGAAAAGATCTTGTTTTATCACACTGCAAAGTAACGATACAGGAATGTGTGATTTATTGAATTTCTAATTCAATAAAGTTTTCAAATAATTTTCTAAAAATGTCCTGCTTATCGTGACTATTGTAGTTTGGAAATCCTGTGCCTCAGCCACTCAGCTTCATCAGTAATTCCATACTTTTCACAAAACACCAACATATTCTTGTAACGTTCCACAATATCAAACGCCAAAGAATGGTGAAGTTTCCGTAAACATACAGGACACAAAAAAAGCAACTTCCTGTCAAATTCCATCAGATGATTGGAGCCATTCATGATACATTTAAAATAGATACAATGTCGCAATCCAAACATGTGTCCTATCTCGTGACACATGAGAAGACATGCCCTTCGTATCAAATTCGTTGATGCCACACTGTCAAGAAAAAAAAAAGAAAATGTAACAACTGAAAAATGTAACAACTTCAACTTAACCACAGCTAACTTGAAAACAAGACATTCATTTGGATTTGCCAAAGTTAATCAAAACGCCAAAAGGATAACCAAATTAATAATTTTATTATCATTATTTTGGTGCTGCATTTGGGGGGAAGGGGATCCAAAATGACTCCAAATTAAAAATTTTGTAAACACCCTTCTTATATTGTACATATATACAGTAAAATGATTGAGTAAAGATTATTACCTCTCCCCCCCCCCTTTGAGTATTTAAATCAGAGTTAGTACATGTAATAACTTACCTTTCCTCCTCTGTCTCCTCCTCCTCCTCCTCCTCACCAAACCCAGGCAGGTACCTTGCCAAGGAGTAGACCCCACAGCGAGATGACAGACTGGCCAGACCAAAGACAAAGTTCCACTCTTCCCTGGGGTACAGATCACACAGTGTAATACCAGCCACACAGTAGGAGTTCTCTTGTACTAGACCTAGCATGTTGAGCAGGATGTGCTCAGCATTTACCTGAAACAATAACACTACTGATGTCATATAAAAAAGATTTTGCTATTGAGATTTTAGAATTCATTGATGCATTGGTGAGATGTGGGTGGTGGAGAAGGGAGTCCTCTTGTACCAGACCTAGTGGGGCCGTAGCAAAAGTCCGAAGGTTCATTGGTCCGAATGTTCACCACAGAATCTTCGGACCAATGAACCCTTGATTAAAAAAGTGATGAAAATGTTATCGTTTTTCGGACCAATGAACCTTCGGACTATCGAGACACCCCCAACCTAGCACGTGTAACAGAATGTGCTCAGCATGTACCTGAAACAAAGTCACTGCTAATTAATATACAAAAGATTTAGATTTCATTGAAGATACAAGGGGAAAGGGGTGAAGAAGTGGAGGGGTGAGTGGAGAATGGGGGNCAGCTGTATCAGCTAACCCATCGACACCATTTCAAGCATACCAAAGGGAGAAGGTGAAGTGTGTGTGCATGTGGGGGGGGAGGGGGGAGGGGGGAGGGTGAGCCCACCCTAACCCCTCACATCTTTGGCTTCTTTAAATAGCCCCAAGTATACATTCACAAGTGAGCCCCAATGAACTTCACCTTATTTCCAAGTTTCACATACAGCCCTGGCTGGCATAGCAAGCTACATGTATTTTTAATCCACCCTTTTCAATAGGCAAGTGCGACTGGAGAGTCGGAAGGTTCATTGGTCCAAAATCTTATCAGTTTTTCAATAAAAAGGTATATTGGTCTGAAGGTTAAATAGTGAACATTTGGACCAATGGACCTTCAAAATATTAAACTTCCAGACTTTTGTAATGCATTCCATTAGACAATAAATCCAACAATCACTTTGAGGATACTAAATACCTTGTAAGATGAAGAACTCCCCACCTCCCCCTTCCTACCTCCTCTTCCTCTTTATCCTCCAATAACTTCTGAATCAATAAGAACAGGACTTACCACAGCAGCACACACTAGTGCACAAGTCCACCCAGCTCACGTACAAAATGCACAGTGAAACTGCTAGGTTCTCTTTACAAATGCAGCAGCATACACTAGTCCACAAGTCCACCCAGCTCCCATACAAAATGCACAGTGAAACTGCTAGGTTCGCTTTATAAATGCCTGCCAGGGTGTGTTTGTGTGTGTCTGTCTGTGTGTGAACGACTCATAAGGCAAGGACAGTTATGTTCTCTACGCCACAGCATAGTGCTACACTTGCTGGAGAGGAAATTAGGTACAGAAATGACTGTGTGGGTGAGAGATTAGACTCTCCATGATGACACTGTCCATCCGCTGACAACTGACTGATTACAACGATTGCCCAATACCAGCTCCTGTATTTTCTCTAGCATAAAATTTCATTTGCCCAACTACCCTAGCCTGAGTGCAGTCAGTTTTTTATCTCCCATTGTAATGCTTTTATGTGAAAACATCCATTTGAATTGACAAGGCATTTGCACTGTGAGTGGGGGATGGGGGGGGGGGGGGGGGGTGAGTGGGGAATGGGGGAGGGGGGAGTGGAAGGAGGGAAGGTGGTAAAAGTAAGTCTCTGCGGGGATGCATGGTTTAAATGCATTTTTTAAAACATTTGTTTAAACAGTACCTTGCTTCAATATGATTATATGATAATTTTAAAGTATTCATCTGTGTATCAATTAATAAACAAACATAAAAGAAATAAAGAAACAAGTCAATATCCACCTGTGTGTGTCCTGTATCAGGATTTTTACGATGAACAACTTTCTTGGCAAAATATTTCCCCTTCAAAATCTTCACTTTCATCCCCAAGAAAAAATACGAGGCATACTCCTTCAACGCCTCTAATGCATCATCTGGCACCGACTTCTCAAAGAACCTCAACGGCAGCAGGTGAATGATATTGCGCTTAGCATCGGGTTTATTGTGGGGCTGTGCCACAAACTGTTCGAAGGTCTGACCCTTCTCAGGGTGGTGAGCTAACCAGTCCATGTCGTGCGGCTTTGGCATAGGGAGAAATAGGTCAGGGTCTGGAATGATGGGAAATGATTGAATACTAAAAAGAGTTACTGCTTTTTTTTTTTTTATTGACACAATACATCATGAATACATGACAATACAAAAACAAACAAACAAACACTCGCTTACACACTCACACATAAGAGATGTTATACTATATAACACTTTTTAATTAATTACATCGTCGTTCGCTAAATATTCATATTATTTGAAAATAACTTAATAATATTTGAATTGTACTGACAGAGTGAATTATCTGTTTCACCAGATATCTAAGCGATGAAATCAAACCTCCTAATGTTGGTTTACCCTGTGAACACCTTCTTAGATAAATATAAATTAAATTTAAATTGCAACATAATGAGATTAATAATTGGAGAGAGGCTCATAGAGCCAACTTAGCAATTCCTTTTTGAGACAGGTAGAGTAATTTGAGTATTAGATAATAATATATATATAAATAAAAGAGTTACAGCATCAATCGCAGTGGCGGATTTAGAGGGGGGGAGGAGGTCAGGGGGGTCCTGATCCCTCCTTCGGTTTCTAAAAAAATCTATCATACCATTATTCCCCTCTTGAAACTAGAATTTTTGACTGTGGCTAAATCGTCACTCTAAACCGTACCAAAGGGCACAGTTTCCCCTCCAAAACAATAAAAATTTTTCGGGGTCCTTGAGCAGCCTTGAACCCCATGCAAAGGGGGTGATGTTTGGCTTTGTATCCAAGGCCTGTCATTCTGGACTCCCCCTCCCTTCAAATAATTCTGGATCCGTCCCTGAATCGCGTTTGATATTTGTGACATTCTGCTGGTAGATCAAGACTATGAATGAGGAGAAACTGTCATCATATTTTTTTCACTGATATTCTGTGATTTGTTCAGTGTACACAAGCTTGTTTTGGAATTGAATTATTTCATTCATTACATAACACCAGTAGTTCACTTGTTCCCCCTTCATAACTTGACTGACAAAATTTATATCTTAAAAGATATATTATATATAATAATATCTGGTATAAGAGCTTTTGGCCAAATGTCTTCATTGTATTGCCCGTTTTGTTTGAAGCAAAATGTCTTTTAATTTACGTATGCACAGTACACAAAAAATAAAGCATGAGCATGATAGTATACATACATATATATATACACATAAATCACTAAAAAGTAATATTCAAGTTATCCTGCATTCCTTTAATTATGGCAATAAGAAAAAGAGACCCACACCTGGAGTCAGAGCTTTCAGCAAGTCTGCCGATGGTTCGGCTGGACTTCTCCGGTGCATGTAAAGTCTACTGTGTTCCAGAATATAGTCATCACTGCTTATTGTAGCTGCTCTGGCCTTTGATCTTGTTACTTTTTCTGATGAAGCGGCACTGGTACTAGAGAGATACTGTAAACAGGAAAAAAACATGTTGAAAGTTAATGTATATAAACAGATAATTATGGTTTTTATAAAAATAAGATAATGTAATATAATGGAATGTAATGTAATGCAATGCAATGCAATGCAATGCAATATAATATAATGTATATAAACAAATAAAACTGTTTCTATAAATACAATACAATACAATACAATATACACCCCATTTCCATAGATTTTTAGATCGATCTATCCCTGTGGGGAGTCTCACTAGTTTACTGTCAGCTTGGCCGGCTTAAGTGTCAGTACCGCCTACTAAAAGCTGTAAGGGGGCAATTAACTATGGTGCCCGCTCGGCTGACTGCAATTTAGAGTGAACCCCCAGGGAGTTAGGTCGATCTAAATCTTAATCTCTAGATCAATCTAAATCTCTGGGAAAGCACCCATAGTTAATGCTGAACCATGATTGTTACCTTTTTCTTCCTGATCCCAATAGCACCCAAACGTTCATCTTCTCCTGGGGGCTTAAAGTGTTTTGGCATGTGGACAAATGAACCCCGGCGACTGCAAAGTTGATAAATTCTTGTGAAGTACTTATTTTCATAAGTAATTGATAAAAAGTATCTCAAAAGATTGTAAAAGTCTGTACATGCATGTAAGGGTACATATCTTTCATCTGATATGGGACATAAAAACATGAATCTTGTTTAAATTTTGTAAGTGGTATTATAAGGTTGTGGGAGGCTGTGTTATACGAAGAGGTCAATTAAGTTATAATTGTGCGAATTAACACATATTATATATATATATATATATATATATATAATGAAAAAAAAAACAGTTTGAATACCCTGATGGTCTGATACTGAAAACCAGAAATGTGACACATGACCTAAGTCACGAGGTAACAGCAGACTGTCTGCTACTCCTGTCAATTTCACTTTCACTTTCGTATTTCAAATGCAATCTTTCTCTTAAATTTTACATGATATACCACAGGAAGGAATGAACATTATAAAAATATAAAGTCATTTCCGTTTCTTTTGGCAATTTTTATAATCTTAAACTGACGATGTCATAGTAAATCATTTATTTTATCATCAACACCAATTGCTAATAAGTAGGCAACGTTCGTCGTAGCTCTAGTTACTGGTATTAATTAGAAAACTAATAAACCTCTTTGTTCCATCACACACGTTAAACGCAGCGAACATCTTCCATAAGCTACTTAAACTGATGTGTTATTGTCTCAATAAAAAGATGATAAATAAATTACAAAATACTAACTTTAATTAAAGACGTAGAACGGACTCGAACCCAGTGACTCGAACCCAAAAGGAATGCGGCTGTTCTCTAACAAATAGAGTCCCGAAAATTAATTTTCTGCGGCACTATTCTGTTTGCATGGAAAGTTGAGAAAGATATCTTGAATCATATTATTTTACCATTTTTACTGATTTAACTTCCACAGCCAACAATGTCACTACGTTACCCGTACAAGATGTCATATAGGAAGCTTCGGGGCACTTTTGGTCCTGGTGGCGGGCCCTTGGCGAGAATAACGAGACTGAGAATGGTGGTCACATCGTTAATTCGCCACGAGAGGATTGAAACAACGTGGAATAAAGCCGCCGAAGCCAGAGATTATGCAGAATTGGTGGGTTTGTGATGGAATACGCCTAATTCACCTTTGCTAGTCGTATGTGCATGGGACTGAGAACGATCTATAGCTTGATATATATTTTTAGAGCATTTGCATACAATTTGCATACATTTGCATACAATTACAGGCACAAGAAAATTAGGTACTTTTGTAGTATAACC